TAGCAGCATGTTTGGGCCTGGTTCTGAAACCTTTCAGTTTATCAGTTTTTCTTAGAAAATGTGAGATTTAGCAAAACTGCCTTTTGTTAAATAGGCCTAGAAAGGTTGCAGGTTTCAAGACAACTTTTTGTAAGAGTTTTAGTTGTCAGGTGGAAATGTAGTTGTGGGCATGGCTGCCTGTGTTAGTCTGTGACAGACAGGGGAGCAAGTTAAGAGGTTGGCACTGCAGTGTGTTCGGGGACTTGTTACCTTCTGGTCTGACCTCCCCCATGGAAAGCAGGAGCTCCAGCGGATACCTGATCTTTTATGCAAGGGTTTGCTGCTTAACCAAGGGGATTTGCCCTGTATCCACACTCTCCTCTGAGATGTGAGTGAAAGAGCCAACCATGGCCCTGAATATGGGCTTTCTATTTTGCACATGCTGGTCTGGACTGTAAGGATATAAATGCAGGCAGGTGAGTTGCTGTCTGAAAAAGTGCAGCTGGTCAGTTTTGTCTCTGGTGAGGAGGAGGAAACTTGGGAAGCGTTAAGAACTTGGGGCAGGAAGGGAGCTTCCTGTGCAGTTTGAGTTACCTGGGCATTGCAAGTTTGCTGTCTGTGTGCTGCTCCCACCAGAGAGGAGGACAAAGTTACCTGGACAGATCATTTGCAAGGACCACCATCATCCAAGGACCTCAGAGCAGCCTGATGGCTTCCAAAGTTAGGACTGAATCACAAGATGGAAGTGCATCATGTAAAAGTTGGTCAGGCAGCACTGCTGAGCCAGCTGGGCACTGGCTGAATGCAAAGAGAAGCACAGGAACTCTGGGATCAGTGTCACAACAGCTGCTGCTTTCTGCAGGGTGGGATTCAGCCTTGCAGTCAGAAATAACCAGAGCTAAAATTAAGTAGTATTTTCCATCTGTTTTTGTAAGATGCAGAGGCTTGTGGTCAGATTTTTTATAACAAGGCTGTGAATGGCAAAGACTGAAGTGACCTGTGCTGTTGCTGATACCTTTTAAAATTACACTCAAATTAAGAGTGAAGTAGAAAGCTGTTGATATCAGTTGACTCTTTCTTCTAAAAAGGAGAAAGCTGGGACATCTTTCAATAGTGCTCCTGCCAACTTTAAAGGCCATCTCCTGGCTTTTGAGAAATCCCTGACAGCTCTGGTGGCACTTCCAGCTTTCTGTAGCTAATTGTTTTTGCTGTGTGCAGCTTGCCTGTAATCCCATGTCTGAGACAGCCTGCCTGGCTTACAGATCTAGTGCTCTGTTCTGTGTGTCTGTGTGTGTGATCTGATCATTCTATTTATTTGTTTGAAAGGGCAGCACAGCTTCCAATGTGACTTAATCATGTTGACTGCTGACACTGCCAGGAGATTGTCAAAATATTGCAGGGCTGCCAGGAACCCTTGCTGCTTTCCTGGGGACCAGTAGAGCAGTGACCTTTCCATGTGAATTTAAATTTCTAGTTTAGGGGAAAGCACAGGGTTTTTCCTGAAAGCCAGTCTGGATTAAGCTGTGCTCCTTCAGCCTCTTCTCAGTGTCCTACCTCTTCATGCTGCATATTTGCTATGGCTGGTCTCTGAAATGGAATGATCAGGCTTTAGAGAAAGGTGTTTTACACCAGCATTGGGTCGGGAGCAAAACACCTGTGCCATCACCACAGGGGAGGCTGTTCCCTGTGGGGAAGGGAAGGGGAAAAGAAGGAGCCCTGTGACTGTGCAGGCAAGGAGCAGTAAACCTCATGTGGGACCTGTCATGACTATAACTTGTGCAAGCACAGCTCTGCTCTCCAGTCACTGCCTCTTGCATGGACAGCTCTGGTATAAGCCTCACAGCAAAGTCACTGCTGCTGGTACTTGCCAATCTTTTAATATCCATAATCTTCTACAGTACCTTTGGGTTTGTGAAGGCATGGGCTGAAAGCCATTCTTTGTTGTATATTTGCATTAAAATACCTGTTGGGTTCTCAGAAATGTACCTGTTGCACCATCCTGATTATAACTGCCTCGGCTTGCTCATTTGTGGGTTCTCTTTTCTTTCCAGCATTGTGGCTCTGTTTCCTTTCCTGCTTCTGTTTCTTTGCTCAGCAGTGATAAGTGAATACTGGGGGCAGTGAGCAGGGAAAAGTCCTCAGCATTGTTCCAGCGCAGCGTGAAAGGCTTCTGGAGTGCTGCAGGTATGGGGAGTGCCCTGGAAAATTCGTGTTCCTGAGTGCAGGTGCCTGTCTGCACTCTGCCTCTGGGAACCTGTGTGTCCCTTGGGGCCAGCTGTGGACACCCAGCTGTGCCTCACCAGAAGGTGCAGGTGGCTTGCTTGGGAAGCTCCGTGCACAGCAAACAGCATCCCTAGGTGCCTGCCCGTAGGCAGCCAGGCTGGCCAAGGCAGGTGCTGGGCTCTCTTGGGACAGGGAGGGATTCCTGGCTGGGACCACAGCCCAGTGCTGTGTCCGCCCTCCTGGCCCCTGTTCCCGGCAGCTGGGAGCTGATCCTGGTGCCTGCTCCCATGTCACCGTGCCCAAATTAGGGCTTTGGCAGTCTGGAGGTCGCAGGGCCGTATCCAGTTGCTGCTGCTCTGTCAGCATTCAGACACCCCATGGGCTCTGTCTGTGACCTGTCCTTGCTGCTGGGGCCGGGATGGCCGGACTGCTGTGCAGGAGGCGCAAAAAAGGAGGTAGGAAATGCTTCCTCTGTGGCAGGAATCTCTTAATGAGGTGGGCTCTTCCTGGGAGGCAGCTTTGGGAAGCTTTCTGCTGGCAGAGGTGAGAGAGATGTTTTGGTCCCATGGGATCTGGCACAGCTGCACAAGGTCTGAAGACAAGTATGAAGGTTTTGTGTGGTTCTTCATGTCTTGAGGGATGGGGGCTTAATACACAAATTTGCATTGATATTTTCTTCCATTTTAGTAAATTGCTCAGAAACTAGGTATTTTTGTTAGGAAGAGTAGAGATAACTTTCATATTAAAATAAAAGAGTAAGTGCATCACCTTACTTGAACTTCTGAGAATAAATCTAGTTTAGCTGCATTTGGAAATATTCTGGCTTGAAATGTACGCATCTTTTTTTTTTTTTATAGACATACACTGTGCCATGCATTTACTGCCCAGAGGAACTTACCAGCTCTCTGCATTGGCAAAGCACTGGGAACAGTGATGCCCTGAACTCAATGAACACTTGGCATTCCCAGAATGACAGCACTGCTGTGATAATGAAGAGTGCTACATCTAGAAATAAGGCTGGTAGTTCCTAAATAAATCTGACTTAATTGAAACATTTCTAGTCCTAGCAGGGTTTTAAAAATCAAACCTCAGTTTTCATGTGAATTGTCTTATGCCCTCCTGGCTGCATCACAATGTAGGAGTTGTTGGGGTGAGAAAGTTCCAGTTGGGAATAATGCAAACAGGGCTGGGTAAGGCAAGTCGTTAGAGCTGGTTTGATCTGTTGTATGAAGCCTTCTTGCTCCCTGATTTTTTTGTTTGTGGACTTTTTCAAGAAAATGAGAAGGAATGCTGAAAAGGGGAACTTAAGAATTTCTGTACCAGCATCTTTATTCGGGAGGAAAAATCTTGGCCTGAGGACCCTATGTTCTGTTTGCAGTGGGGAACCATGGGACATAAACCATCAGGTCTAAAAATACAAGACTGGGGTTTATTGCTTGCACTCCATAACGAGGATGTTAGTGGTGATCAGTACCATGCTGTGAACCAGAATTAAGTATTCTCTTGAGACTTCAATTAAGAAATGTGAGAACTTGTTTTAAGCACCTGTTTCAATTTTCTGTGAGGGAAGGAGTGGAGACTGCAGTGTATTCTTCTTCCCTGTCCTCTGTGGCAGTAGGATCTCTGTCTTTTCCACTTGTATGGGGCAGAAAAACAGCAAGTCCTGATAAAGGGTTTTGTAACCTTCACAGACTGCATGCTAATGTCAAGCCTGTGGAATGTTTTTCCAGTGGGAAAGGGGAATAATGGCTGGTCTTTAAGGGGAGAGCTTGCAGGGACACTGTGACCATTATTTAACTGTTCCTCCTTTTCTTTCCTGAGAAAATTTTGTCTAGCAAACCTTATTTATCTCAAAGTCCTTTCTTTTTCCTGAAAAGAGTGTGGGACGCCTCCCAAAGGAGACTGCACTACCACAAGTGCTGCCACAAGTCATTTTAGTTCATGCTTGCACAGACCTGTCACTGAAAGTACAGGGCTGTTGAGGTTTCATGCCTTGTAATCAATGTCATCTGAGCTTAAGGGGAGATGTGCCTTGGAGAATGTGAAAGTGTTACAGCAATGCTGGTGCTCTTCTTACTGACAAGCTCTGGGAAAACACTGAAGAACTATTCAGTGTTTGCCCTCATGTTTAGTTCCTTCCTAGTGGCAGGATGCAGGGAAGTATTTTAACATCCATTTTATTTATAAAATGTGTTTTTCTGAGCTTGCCAATGAGAATTGTAAGTTTAGGACAGCTTGAAGTAGAAAAATTCCAATTTGTGTTCAGCAGATCATGGCACATCTATTTTATCAAGTGGCAACACTGGAATTAAATACATTTTCATCTTTATTTGGTGGGTCTGCCTGGGATTCTCTGAGGATTTAACAAGGCCAGTAGCAAGTTGCATGTTCTGCTGCTGGAAAGGGTGGTGATGAGTGGTTGTGCTGTAAGAAAAGGGGTTTGTTTCTACAGTTTGATGTCTGCTCTAGGCTGGGCCTGTCCTGCAGGCAAAGCTCACACCCCTTCCTTCTGGAGAAACAAGCACTCCGAGCTTGTTCTTACCACAGAATTGGTTTTCTTTTTAAAAGTTTCCAGCCACTTCTGTAGTAGCTGTGTTTAATAGGAAGCTATAAAAGGATGTTACTTGGATTTTATTTTCCACTGTGGCTGCAGTTCTTCATGCCATAAACTGTGGTCCTGTTCTAAAATGGATCTACCAGATGTTGTCTGTTACTATGAACGCCATCCCCAACCCCTACATATACACCAACTCTGCATTTATTACACTCTTTCTGTTGTTTTTTTTTCTTCTGTCCAGTGAGTGACCTCCAAGAAGAAGGTAAAAATGCCATCAATGCACCAATGAACCCAAGCACTGTGGACATCCATCCAGAAGACACACTATTAGGTAAAGTTTTGTGCTGCAGGGATGGTTTGTGAAGGGGGCCACTGTGGCCCCCACATCATTACTTCAGTGCTGAATGTAGATTGTCCAGTGGGAGCTGAGAGGATTGGAAGTGACAGTTGAAAAAAGTTGCACATTACTTGTAGACTAGAAATTAAAAAAGCTAAATGGAGTTTGAAGAGCAATGCCAAGCGAGGTAGTTTATGGACTCTCTCCCATGTCCATCCCCATTCCCGCACACTGAGTCCCTACAAGAGAAACAGCATAATTTAATAGCAAAAAGTGTTAAAACTTGTTGAAATAAGCCACTTTTGTCTCTCCTGGCCACATATCTCTTAATCTATGCAATTAGTTGAAGCAAGCTAATTATGAAAGAGTAAATCAGACATCAGGATAAATAATAAAATAGTAAATTAAACTGAGAAGGTGTTATTCATTGGATTTTCTGATTAGGAGAGTAGTAGGAAATGCAAAGTACTTTTTCCTAAGATGTGGGTGAAGTGTTGGTTGCTCTGTGTTGATATGTCTGGACCAGGAGTGTCTCCAGTCATTTCTTCTGGATACTACTAAAGCTGGGTATGTCTTTAGAAGATGCAGAACTTCTGCTGAAGGCCTGTCCTCCAAAGACGTGATCACCACGAGTTTTGTGGTAAATCATGTTCTGTTATGGGTCAAGTCCAGTTCAGGGTTAGTGTTTCGGGTGTGTAGTGGGTGTCACTTCCTTATGATGACTGCCTGAACTCACCCTAGGCAGTAATGAGGAAGTAAAGGAACAGGGTGGGAAAAAAGGCAGCAAAAGAATTCATGTTTTATTCATTGGTTTGTGAAAATTTTTCAAGCGTGTTTAGGTAGCACAGTTGTATTTTTTTTTATAAAAATGAAGAGCCCTGGAAAATCTTGACCCCAAAATGTGTGGGTGAGGTCTAAGGTAACCAGTCAGATGCTGGTTACTAATCACTGTGTAGTCAGTCTCATGACCAGGATGTGTCATGTTTCCCATCTGACAGCAGTGAGGTCTGGCTCTGCAGTGGGAAGTCACTGTAGGCTGGTTTTGGGGGTTCACTGAGCAGTGTGACAATGGCCTGACCAAGGGTGATACCAAAACTTCGTTGTCCTGATAGGAAGAAAGAATTGAAAAATCAGTAGGAAAATTGGATTGTATATGGTCTGCCTTCTGGCCATTAGCACTTCTCACACATCTCATCAGCAGAAGAAATGGAAGACTTTACACCAGTGAAATCTATTTTATGTTCTTTCCCCATGCACCAGCACAGCTGATACAAAGTGGGGTAATTTTATTTCATAAGCTTAATCAAAGGTTGAGGAGTTCCTGCACTCAGGAGCACATGTGTGACCAAGTTTTGGGGAACCAGAGGGTGGAGGCACAAACTCTCAGCCCAAATCTCAGCAACTGCACTGAATGTAGTGCATTAAGCTCACTTTTTCCTTCCAGGTGCTGCAATTTGGGACAGGTGTTTTCAATTAGAACTTAAATTCAAACTGAGGAGAAGCAGAAAAGTAGTTCACTGTGGCTTTTGGTTTGTTACTATGAATGTGCCCCACATCAGGACAGGGATTTTCGTGAAGCATTCTGCATAGGGCAGGGCTAGAGGCTTTTGGTTTGTTACTATGAATGTGCCCCACATCAGGACAGGGATTTTCGTGAAGCATTCTGCATAGGGCAGGGGAGGGTCAGGGGGGACAATCCTGCTTTAGGGAAGTGGGGCTGTGCTGTCATTCTGTGTGTCTCTAAAACTGCCTGACACTGGGGTCATGGGACATCCCCTGCCATTTCTCAGTCAGCTGATGAGCCCCTTAATGGTGTGGAGTTGTTGCAGTTTCAGCAGTGCACATTTGAAGTGGATCTCACTAAGGTTTCCCCTCTTACTTGAACAGAGGAGAATGAGGAACGTACTATGATCGATCCTAACTCAAAAGAAGACCCCAAGTTCAAGGAGCTGATCAAGGTAGGCAATCAATCTTTGGTGCTTCTTCAAACCTTTAACTGGTGAGCTGGAGTAATTTGCAAGCTGGTCACCCAAGAACAGTTGAGGAATGGTGACTTGTTACTGGAATGTAGCTGTGGAAACTGAGAGCAAGGTCAACAACAAGGTAAGGCTAAAAGTAACAGTGAGAGGGACAAGGAAAGGCTGAATGTCAGGGTGCCCATGGAGTTATGGAGTTATGGAGTTAAGCTCCATTGTCCATTTCTATCCTTGTGATGATGACAGCAAGGATCAGTGCTTGGTTTGAGTCCCTGCACATAAAATGTAGGTACCTTCTGTTTCTGAAAGCTGGGAAGGAGCTCTGCAAAGCATTAGTGAGGTTTCAGGAGAAGAAAGAGTAGGACTGAAATGTTAGGGAATGAGGAAGGAACCTCTTGTGTTCTGGGAAAGTTGGAACTGAGTTTCTTCTTGCCCTACATTCTGTCCTCAGTTTACCTGTGTGCTGGGTCAGAGACGGGTGGTTCTGAGTCTGTCTCGTTGCTGGACACAACTGCCCTAGGTGTTGGTACGGTGTGCCCAGATGTGCTGATGTTATATGAGGCTTCCTGACTCAGCAGTACCCATAGTTCCTGCCTGGCATGACAGAGGGCTTGCTCCTGAAGGATTTGTGTTTAGGAGAGAGCCTTTTCTATGCAGAAGGTTGTTGGGGTTAATGTAGTGCAAGCTTGAGCATGAAGGGAAGGGATGGCGAGCCTGAGCAAGTGGGATCTCTTTCAAAAAAGTACTGTACTGGTGTTACACCTCCCACTGCAGTTTTGCTTCATTTCTTTAAAGTGATTCTAAAAATAATTTTGTTGGAAACAGCAATCCAGCTATATCTGTGTGGCTATGAAAACTTTTTTTGGATAGTGTATATTATTTCCTGAGAGGGGGCTGAGCATATTCCCTGCTGAAAACCTGATGCACCCTGGCTGCACACACCCTGGCTGCTTCCCCAAAGCCAACTGCTTCAGCAAATGCCTCAGCAAACTGCTCACCTGGTACCTCTTTAAAACAAGCCCAGTGATCTGTTATTACCACTGCAATAATGTGTTTAGCATCACAAAACCACTTCAGACTGAGCTCAGCAAGGAACTATGCTCAAATTTCTGTTTTTCTAATTCACCGGGAGTACATTGTGGTTTTAAATTAAGTGACTGTGCATTCTTTCTTTGTTAGTACCTAAATCCATTAATTCTTTGAAAGGTGCAGTGGTCTTGCATCACCCTCTCAGAATGTAATGTGGTTTCTCTGCTAGTGGAGCAGTGATATTATCATCTGAACAAGAGTCATTGCAGTGGAGGAACCAGATGTACTCTGAGATTCAGGAAACTTGATATGGAGACTGCAATTGCTTTTAAATTGTGAATTTTCCTGCTGAGTTTAATACAAGTTTGAGTCTTCCCTGGATGGTGTAGTCCAGCAAGGTTTGGGGTTTTTTTTCAGATTAAAAACCTGAAAGCCTCCAGGAGGAATGAAAACCAGGGCCAGAACAACGCTTGAGGATAATGTTTGAGTGTATTGCAGAGTCAGGTTCAGGGTCACTAGGCCAGTTCCCACTTGCACAAGGAAAGAGGTTCCAATGGAATGGGATCACCTGGTGCAGTGAGCAGCATGGAACTGGAGATTGTTTCCTTGGGATCATCCCTGAAGAAGAGATGTGTTCTGTAGAGTGCCTGTGTAATTTGGGTAGTTGCTAATAACTCTCTGCAGTTAGAGTTTTTACAGAGATTCAGCGGTGTTGGTGTGAATTCACACTGTGTTGGTGTCAGTCTGTAAGCCAAGGGGAGGTTTGAATTATGCTGGCAAAACTTGCTTTTTACTACAGAGTTTGGATAATGAAAAAAAAAAAAGAGTAATTTATTCTTTGTTTTCTGTTCCTTGATGGTAATGGCATTTTCCAGAGCTCCAGTGCTGGATGAGAATTGCTGAGCTTTAGAAACCCAGCCAGCAGAAAAGTGTCTGCCCTGCAGAGCCTGAAAGGAAAGCTCTCCATGGACTAGTGAGGAGTGGGAACTTGAATAGATGGAGGTTTTTATAGTTCCAAGTGGTTCCTTCTCTCTCTTTCCCCTCAGACAGGAGTGTGCCAATAGCAGCAGCAGATCCTGGTGTCTTTTCAAAGCTGGCAGTGGAACTCAGTTTCATTGGGGGCCAGCCCAGGTCTCCTTCAGCACCAGAGTTAGACGTGCCAACAGCTTGCCATTACTGATGCTGAGTGTTTCTGTCCTGCCAGTTGAATGCAGTGGGGCAAATGGGTCTCAGTGCAAAGAAGCAGCAGAGATCTCTGCTGCTGACACTGCTTTAGTACCTCTTTGTCTCCACCAAATGTTGGTTTAATTTCTGCTAACTCCATGCCATAGGAATTATATGCATTGTGGATTGGGCATTTGGAAGTGATTTTGACAGAGCCTTTGTAACTCTAGAGGGACAGACTGTACAGCACTGTGGTAATACAGAGACCAGCAGATGAAAAACACAAGAAAAAACCTCATTCCTCTCTCGTAGTAAAGCAAATATACAGAGAATCTCCTTGTTGAAGGCTGCTTAGTTGGGGATGTAAAAATACCTGCTTTAAGTCTTCTTGTACATATGAAAACCATTATGCCTGTAAGTGCTGTATGCTATCACCATGGACAGTTTACTAAAAATAGTCACAATTTGTCAGTATGAAGTGTTCAGCAAAGTTCCCTCTCTGGCCAGCAGCTTTTTTAAACTCACTTCATTGGCCCAGTGTGTAATGAAAATTTGGTAGATGGTTGAACAGACTTAAAACTGAAAATTCAGATCAGGGAAAGAGATAAGTTGCTGCTATTATTTATATGCGTGTATAAATATTGCATTCACAAAATGCTCTATTTTTAGTGTCTGAAATATGTCAGCTTCTTTTACTTCTTGTCCAATATTTGCTCATTTTCTGTATTTCATTAGGAAAAATATGAGAAAGAGCTTTGGCTAATTGAATGCAAAATTTCAGAACATCAGCTTACAAGAGTTGGGTCCTGTCTGAAAGTGCCTTGACCACAGGCAGCAAACCACAGTTGTAAGGTGGTTTTCCTCCCTGCAAAACTTTCTGTGAGAATGACTTATAACTGTAACAACTTCTAGCCTTTAAAAGACTCATCTAAACTTTATACAGATCCAAACACTACTGCTCTGGACACTGCCTGAAAAGAGTAAACATTCTCATTTGCAGCAAAACACTCACTGTCCTGGAAGATACCAACTTTTCCCATCTCTGGTTTTATGCCTTTTTTTAGATTTACTGAGGTAAAGAGAAAACCAAAATGAGGCCACTGTCCTTTGACGTGTGGTTTGTCACTTGTGACCAGATGAAACTGAGCTCCTGAAATGCTCTGTGATCTGCTTTTGGCAACAGGAGGCCTTCCCCTTGCTTACAGGATGCCAGTGCTTTGTGCTTAGCCACGAGGCCTGAATGTGAATTTTTGCTATTAATTTTCATGTTCAGCCAGTTTCATACCTTTGATCTCTGCTTCCTGATTTCCCCAGAAGCTGAGGGGAAGTGGGTCATTTAAGTCAGGGTTTTCTTTCTGGGCTGTTTTTGGTGGCTGGGCTTCCTGTTTTCCCACTGTGCCAGATGTGTTAATGTATTTTGAGTTGCTTTGCATTTTTTCCACTACTGTATAGGGGTGACTGTGGGGCCCTTATGCCCTTGAACTCTGAATTTTTGCAGCTACAAGTGCATGTGTCTGAGCATTTGGCCCAGTTCAGAAGTGCCTTAGATGAGTGCAGACGTGCAGGAAATGTCAGGTACAGTTGTGAGGACATCAGAATATTATATTCAATTTTTGAAACCACACTACTAGCCCCAAATATTATAGAAGTCTATAGAAAAGCAGCTTTTTATGAGCTCAAAATGTAATATTGAGCTGTACGAAGTGCAAGCACAGGAAGGAAGGAATGGGTAGAGTGTGAGACCAGACACATCGAGGTTAAGCATCTTTTCATGCACAGGAGATGCTCTTGTCTGCTTCCCACCAAGCATCAGTGTGCCTGTGTCAGGCTGTTAAAATTTTGAGACATTCAGGTTATTGAATATTTCCTGCTTCTGCATTTTTATGAAGGAGAAATCACGAAGAACTGGAGAGAGCTGATGTTCCGTGAGCAGAGTCAGAAACTATTCGTGCACCTTCATCGTTTCAATGAGCAATGTGGTGTTTCCTCTGTAAAAGTTCAAAAGAAAAAAATCTGTGCTGAAAGCTTTTCCAGGTTTCTAATTAAGACATAATCAAGGAATCAGGAAAGGCTTGGGATTTTTTTTCACTGCAGTACTTTACAGTCTTCAACAGCTGTTGGAAAAAAACACCTGGATTTTTTTTTCCTTTGCAAACTCATTTTTTTTTAGTAGAGCTAAAGTTGTAGTCTGAATAATAGAGAGGTTATAATGTTTTTTGGGATATTTTTCTTTGATTTGGGTACTAAACTGTGAAAATAATAAAATAATTATGGCTAGACCTGTTTAATTTGTCTTTTTTGTTTTTTTGTTTTTTTACTTTTTTAAGTTTTTTTACTTAAAGTTTTTCAATTCTAAATTTTTGTGAAACATTTAATTAGCACATAGTGTATATATTTTCCTTTTTTAAGACCCTGTACTGTGTATCTGCACTCTTGGAAATGGGATATTGGATCTTACATTTTAGTCTTTTATTTATAATTCCTTGGCATTTTCTAGATTCTGACTTCAATACCATTCAGCACAGGACAAACAAAATAAAATATTTATTAATGGTTTCAAATAGTTTAGCATCCTGAGTCTTCCTTTAACAAAGCTTTTGAGGACTTCTTGAAATCCAACCTCGGGTCTGTAATGGGATCTGAGTATATTAAATATCTTCTGCTGAACTTCAGATAATTTTTGAAAGCCTGTTCTGTAAATCTCACAGAAGACCTAAACCTTTTATGATTTTGATTTCTTCAGTTGAATTTTTTATGGATGTCAGTGTTTCAAGCCTGTATAATTATGGAATTAGGCAGTCACCTTTAAAAAAAATCTCTTTCTAGATGATGTCTTGTTATCTAGGACTGATTTTTCTGTATAACTGGTGAAGTTTTTGAGGTGAAAGATAGCATTGTGCTTCTCATTGGCTTCCAGCTGTGGTGATCTTTTGCTGACTTGTCCCGGGGGAGCAGTGGGGTGATGATGTTGCTGCTGCAGAGCTCATCCTTGTGTATCCATATGTCCTCACTCACCTCCCCACCTCCCCTCTTGTACCTGTGTGAGAGAAGACCACTTCTGACACAAGATGACGATATTGAATAGTGAATAACTTAACAGAAAACCTTTCTTTTCAAAGGCAGATCTTTGGAAGAGTAATTTTTATTGTTGAGGTTTTAATCCTTCTGGACAGTTTAGAGGGCAAAGGTGATTTACCTGGGTGAGCATTGATGCTGATCCTTGTTTTATATGGAATGAGCACTTGCCAAATCACTCAGCCAAAGCTTGCTTGCCAATTACACACTGCCCCTATTTTCAGAGCTGACTTTCACTCTGTATTTTCAGCATGCTTTGGAAGCACTAGAGAAATGGATTAGAGGTACATGAAGCATTAGTATTTCATGTTTGGGTTGTAAACCTTTTCATGGTCACTAAGCCCAGCCAGATTTATTTGAGGTTTTTAGGTTGAATGAACATCAGCAGCCAGGCTGAATGTCCTTGTGCCCAACACATTCAAATGCTCTTGTTGCCTAGGAGTCCCAGGGTGGCTGTTTTCCACTGCAAGTCTGCGTATATTTTGTTTATTTGCTTTTGTTTCACAATCTCTTGTATAATAAAACCCCAGAACCTTCTTAGCCGTCACAACTGCCAAGAAGAGGCAGAAATATGGGGTCTCATCAGAAGTAAATTAAAAGAATCTGCAACTTTGTATGAATGCAAACTAAAGATTACAGAATGGTTGAATTAAACTTATTGTTTCAGGTGGCTCTAGTCAATGGATTTTTCACATCTGTGATTGGCAATACTCTTATCTTATGGAACCTAGGAAGTAGCAGGAGCTAACATTGTGTCTCTTCCCACACAATTTTGTTATTTTAGTGAAAATAATTTAAATTTCTGAGAAGTAAATTGGAGGAGAATGTTACTACCAGCTTCAAACAGTCAAGGCTTGTTTTCCTGTAACTGTTCAGAAATAATTGTCTTTGGCACCTAGCTCAGGGAGATCCAGCTCAGTTCCTTTTGTTTTTAAAGATTCTTTATCTCATTCCAGTTTTTCAGGTGACCGAATTGTTTTCGTAGTTATGGTATTCAGCATATGGGAACTGTTAGAATGGTAAAATTATTATCAGACCCATTTGACCAAGATTTTAATTTTGGACTTTTGTATTCTGCAATAGCTGAGGATAAAATGCCTTGTCCTGTTGTCAAGACCTGAATTAAAAACAATAAGGGACAATCAGATGCTTTTATTTATTTTTATTTTTTTAATTCAGGTCTCATCTCTGCAAATTGGAAATACATAACTATGCTTGCAGTTCATCTGTTCTATAGTCCTGATTACTGCCTTGAATGGAAGGAATGTATTTTGGTTGGTTTTAAACATTTGCCTCCTTTTTCTGTGCTTGCAGGTTCTAATTGACTGGATTAATGATGTGCTGGTGGAGGAGAGAATCATTGTCAAACAGCTTGAAGAGGACCTGTATGATGGGCAGGTGCTGCAAAAGCTGCTGGGTGAGTCCCTGTCAGAGAAGGTGACACCAAAGACTGGGAGGGCCCCAAATTAACCTCTCCCAAAGCTGCAGACTGTGCAGTAACTCAACATCTCAGTGAGATGGTTGATGTCACTGAAAGCTGCCTCAGCTTCTCCATCTGTTCTGCTCAGGCTGTCTGCTGAGAGGGGAGGAAATCCAGGTAATTCCTGGGTATCTGTTTCATGGATTGACTGTAGTCCAGGCAGCTGAAATGTGGGGTAGAAAAGGAGTGAAGAGATTTGTGTTTGTGGGGTCAAGCAGAAGCCATGTGGTCCGAAATTTTGTCATTGTATTTTGCTTTTGAAAGCTTTTGGGCTGAGAGCTGTTTTGTATAAAAGTATTACTTTTTGAGGGGAAAAAAGAAAAAGAGAATGAATGACAGCAGACATGTGCTCAAAATGTGCACCTCTGTGTGAATGACATATGAGGGGATACACTCTGTTGAGAATTTGGGATTTTGCAGCCCCCTCCCATCTTTGCAATGTGTGTGTTGATGCAGGAAGCACAGTGGAGAAGACTCAGGATAATCCAGTGATTTATGCGGATGCTTTTGGAAAAGAAAAAGGCTTGAGGCTTCCAGTACTGTATAAATCCACACTTTTTCTTAGCCATACTGCTCTCAGTTCACTTCTAATGTGTTTTCAGGAGTGGGCTGGGCTGTGGGATGTGTGTGTCACAGTGGGGCAGGAGGACTTAGTGCTGCTGGTTCCACTGGCTGCTGGATTTTTTTGCACAGGCCCTTTAAATGAGAGGTGTTTTGATGTACATCCACAAGCTTTTAAAATTAGTTAATGACCATTACCTTTCTGTGCAGTTGAAACTCCTCAAAAACAATAACTCGAGGAATGAAGCAAGAGTACTTTCAACTCTTCTGTGTTAGCCTGCAGCCGAGAGCCTCCAAATGTTGTATGGATCAGCACTGTACAGGCAATTTTAACTGGGGAGTATTTGCTTGAATCCAGTTGTTCTTCATAACTCTGCGGAGCTGGGGAAGGGGCTGGAGCACCAGGAGGGACTGAGGGAGCTGGGGGGGCTCAGCCTGGAGAAAAGGAGTCTCAGGAGGGACCTTCTGGCTCTGCACAACTCCCTGACAGGAGGGGACAGCCAGGGAGGGTTGGGTTCTGCTCCCAGGGAACAGGATGAAACAGTCTCAAGCTGTGCCAGGGGAGGTCCAGATTGGATATTGGGAAAATTTTTGCACTGAAAGAGTGGTTAAGCCTTGGCACAGGCTACCCAGGATGGTGTTGGAGTCACCATCCCTGGAGATGTTCAGAAATCATGCAGGTCTTGCACTTGGGGATGTGGTTTAGTGGTGGTCTTGGCAGTGCTGAGACTCAGTGATCTGAAGGTTTTTTCCAGCCTTCCAAATGGTTCTATGGTTCTTTGTGTAGATCAGTCAGGAAAGATGGACGTGGACATCTTGCAGCCTGAGATCTTTCACTGCACCAGCTTTTACTCATTTCCTGCATTTTGGGCCCCTGACTGGAGAGCAGATGCATCTCCTGTGACCTGGAGCTACCTCAGCTCAGCCCCAGTCTTGTGCTGTTCTTCAGCAGTGTCTTTGTTCCTTCCCTCACCTTCCTGGAAAAACTAACAAGGTGTGGTCATTAAACTTCAAGTAGTAGTTAACCATTCCTTTTGAGTGAGAGGTGTTTAGTCTTGATAGCCAGGCCCTCAGAAAAGGATGAAAGACAACAGCTTGTCACTGGGCTTATGCTGAAGGGATTTGAAGTAAGATATTAGTAAATGACTGATGGAGGTGGAGCTCCTTGTTTAGTTAATTTTATCAAGGTGCAAGCAGTGCCACTCAGAGAAGCTGGAATGGCCTAGTACACATGATATTGGTGTAAAAGGAAATAAATTTGTTTGCTGACTGATAGGTAACCTGCGCTAAGAATAGGCAGAAGCCCTAACATGTGACTGAAAAATTATTTTGCTTGTTTTCATAATCTTGATAAAAAATATTGATTAATAAAATCTCTACTTTAGATTGCTAGAAATATTCAAGACGTTCAAAGTATTTGTTAGTTGATAACCTCCAAGTCTTTTCTCTTTGGGTTACTAGAGTGCTTTTTGTATTGCTGCCCCTTTAAAAAAAAAAGAAAAAATATATCTTCAGCTAGATAAAACATCCAGAAGAAGCATGCTCTTAAACTTGAGAGCAGAAATATCTCCATTATTGGAAAAAGAGGAATTTTGACAACTCTGAAAGAGTCATCAGAATCTTTAGAATCTCATTTTGTGAAAACAGTTTTGGTGAAGTATGTTTTTTGTTTTAGAGAGTGGAATAATTAGAATATGGCCAACCAGTCCTGACATCGTGGGCAGATCAGCACAGTGAGTTTGGCCACATTTTTTTATGGGTGTGGAGCAAGAACAGAGATGAGCTGTTCCCATTGCTCTGATGGCTGGAGGACTCTAACCCACCTTCCTCAGCTCCCTGGTTTTTCTTTTTTTTAGAATTTTAGCTTCTGTCTCTTTTGCAAGGGCCACAACACAGAGAAAGAGAAGAACAAGTTGTCTGTGACTTTGGCCACAAATAGTTATATTACATCAGCAGAACTGAAATTTTAGTAATGGAATTTTACATATTTTCCTGTTTTATTTCATTTTGGAAGTAATCAACTATGATGTGACAATGTCAACAACATGACAAGATTGTACCAACTTACGTTTTAAATTAGTTCCACTGAGCTAATCCTGGTATGAGTCTTGAGGGTTTGAGGATGCAAAATATGCTTTAGCTTAAATTCATACCTTCAGCTGACTTGAAATTAAGCTTGTCAAGCTGAAGTAAATGTTCATACAAAATATTTCCCACTTATTGTCCTAAACTAACTTTAAAAAAGTCCTTTGTACCTGTGCGGATTCCTTGTGCAGTGAAGGCTGTGTTGTGCCAAATGCTTTTCTGCAGCGAAAGAAAGTGGGAGGTATAATTAATATTGCTGTTAGCTTGATGCCTAGCTGAAAGTTGTTACATATTTTGATATCTGATTGATGAGCATGTTCAGCCAGGCTTTACCAGTTTTGTCACATTTTTGTTGGAACTGACATATTTTGGTAAAAGTTTTACTCTCAGCTATTTTTCCATCCAGGGAAAATAATTATCTTAGAAAAGTTCTAGTGGACTCCAGTGGTCTGTGCTTATCTCTACACAGTTTAATCTGATTTTGTCTGCCCTTTTTATTTATTTATTTTGTTTGTTTTTCAAATGCAGAAAAATTGGCTGACCGTAAACTGAATGTGGCGGAGGTGACACAATCTGAAATTGGTCAGAAGCAGAAGTTGCAGACGGTCTTGGAAGCTGTCCATGATTTACTCCGACCCCATGGCTGGACAATCAAGTGGAATGTTGACTGTAAGAACTTTTACTATATTTTCTGTCTCAGTAAGTGTGTTATCACTTAGGAAGTCTGCTAAGATCATCCTTCCCCAGTATCCTCCAGTGCAGTGGAAAGCAAGTGGTTGGGTTTGCCTGTCTGTGATCAGAGAGGGTTGGGACTTGTAAGTTTTGCTTAAAGGAAGGGCTGAATGTAGGCTTTGCTACCTGTGAAGCTACATTGTAGGCCTTACTAATTGAGGAAAAAGAGGAAGAAGGATAAAAACACTGTGTTGACCAAAAGCATTTTTCACTGCCTTTTCCCCCAGAACTGTTTGTTTAAAATAACACCTCAGTGTCCTTTCACTGGCTTCCTTTCCCTTGTTCCCTGCAGCCATCCATGGCAAGAATTTGATTTCCATCCTGCACCTCCTGGTGGCTTTGGCCATGCATTTCCGAGCTCCCATCCGGCTGCCTGAGCACGTGTCTGTGCAGGTGGTGGTGGTACGGGTGAGTACCAGCTCCTGGCAGGAGCAGAGGGCGTTCTGCAGGGCTGGGCTGCTCCCACCCATTGCCTCTCATCTTTTGTCATTTAGAAAATGTCTGTCCCACTTGTTTGGTGAGTCCCGTGCTTGGGAATGCATTTTTGGGTTGCACGTGCTTAAATGAGACCCCAAGGACAGCACATCCTTAGTAGGTTTGGGGCCACCCTTTGCTATTGCAATAGCAAGCTCAAACATGCAGTGGGATTTTGTATAAGGGAGCATTGGGCTTGTAATTTCTGTCACTCTGGTACAGTTTTTTTTGCCATGCATTTTTTGCAGAGAAGCCATTGAAACCTAAACAACACAGGAAGGAGTCTCAGCACATAAAATCTCCCCAGTCTGGAATGCCTGTTAGCAGTGTGGTTTTTCCCCAATGACTTCATGTGCAGACTTAGACACGTTGTTTTCCTTGGCAAGCCTGATAGACTTTCATCATTTCTTTCACAGTCCTGTGTTTTTGTTAGCTTTCCTTAGATATGGGGGAGAGATCTGACCTACGGAACCCTGACTGCTTCCCCCCTGCCCTAGATACTGCTCTGGTTATTCCTTTCTCTGCTTTGTGTCGACCTTTCCTTCTACAAAGGCTCTACTTTCAAGCATCTGTACCTCTTCTTTTTCCTTGCCTTCTATCCCAGGGAAAGCTTCCCATGGGAACCCAGTTTTTCTCCCAGCTGCTGAACCCCAGGCAGATGTGTTCCAGCTGGCACTCTGCTCTGCAAGTGCCTGTTTGCTGTGGCACTCACTCTGCAATTTACTGTTCCAGCTGTGAGTTTCCTTTCAAGAATGAAGAAGATAAAGTGATCCCACACCCTGTTTTGCAAACCTGGATCCCCTTACAAGATGCAGGGTGGTTGATTAGATGAGCTTCATTTTGCTTTATATTTAAGTAATGGTGTTTCCAGGTTGCCTGCCTGGATGCACTAGACGTGCAGGATGTGATGTAAATGAGAAATTGATGGATGTTCCCTGGTTCATAATAAATGTGTGTATTATCTATAGGAGGTGATTTTGAATTTAAGAACAGTGAGTTAGTTATGAAGTAACATGAATGTAAATAGGAGACTGATTTATTTTTAGATTTCTTTTTTCTGTCTTGGAAAGATAAGGAGGAATATATAAATATAAGCTGGTCAGCAGCTCTCTCACACCCTGATGTGAAAAACCTCCTTCTGCCCAGTACAGTGAAGTGTCTTCTATAACTGCTAAGGCAGAAAAAAATATTAGGTAGAAAGATAAAGCCTCCCTTTCCCTGTCCTTAGTTCAAGCTACAGAACCATCCACCTCTGCAGCAGGAAGAATGCTGTGGAGAAGGTTTTCACTTCTTTTCCTGTTGGAGGGATATAGAGGAGACTCCATCTGGCTCACCAGAGTCCCTGGGTCTTAAGACTAGATGACAGGGTGACATAAAGGCTGACAAGAAACTAGGCAGGAGAGACAGCAACACCTGTGTCCCCAAGGAGTCAGGTATAGTGGGGGTTAAGTCAAATCCTAGAGGCTCTTGCTCTTGGATCTAGAGCCTGGAGTCCTGGCAATGGACATGGGCACAGCTGGCCCTGTGCAAGAGGAGGCTTCTCTCAGCCCCTAACCCAGTGCTAGGAAAAGCTTGCAACTCTTCATCTTTGTTTATTTAAATGGAAAGCAAGGGGTGGTATGAAACAGAGCGTGTTCATTCTGGAAAAAAAAAAAACCTTCTGCCTTCTAGTTTGGTAAACTGAATTTTTGTAGTTCAGCATCCATAATCTAGTCTAAAAATACATGCTGGTTCAGTAACACAGATCTCTTTAAATGAACTTTGTTTGGCCTCTGTTATTCTAATGACAAACAGAATGGTGATGAGGTGAATATTGTTCCTAATCCAAACAAGAAAACTACTATTAAGAAGATTGTTGCCCCTATTACAAATTTGTTTTGAAGTGATCTCTTGTCATATATCCCAACAATGAACAGGGTTCTGTCAAACTAGATCACAGTTAACATAAGGTGTTAACTGAGAGGTTTTCATTTAAATGCCTCTTTTTGCTTGGATATACATTTGAGGGGGTAAATAAACAGTTTAAGTGACTTCTGTGCAAATCTTTCAGAACTGACCCTGCAGCAAGAAAGCCATGCAAGATGCTGTGGGAGTATGGTGCAGGAACACACCCACACTGAAATTTTCAAAACTAACTAAGTCTCATTTTCATGGGTGACTTTGATTGTCTTTATCCACTTGTTGAGCTGTCCTCACACTGTGCAGATTCCTGAGGTGCTTCTTCCCCAAAAGGACTAGGACTGTGCTTACACCGTGAAAATAAAGTGGTTTAGCAAGTGACTGCTCAGCCAAGATGTGTGCATTTCCACAGCCCATCCCAGAGCAATGCAGAGCACCTTATGAGCTTGTGTAAGTGCTATGGGCTCTTTTTTCATCTTACTTTCAGTGTCCTAATTCACAAAGTGAAATAATATTATGACAGCACTGTGCTACATGGAAGGTGTTTATCCAGATCTCCACAGTTCCATGGTAATTCTGCCCTTGCATTAAATCCTTCTCTTCCTTTACCATCTTGCGGTGACAGAGCGAGACTTTCTTAAGGTGTTGCATATGTTTTTTTAATTAAAAATAATTGATTTAGAGTCTGAGAAATATCTGTAGCTCAATCTAGGTCTGTCAAACAATGCACTATCCTTTTTTGTCCTGCACTGTTAGTTTGCTCAGAAACTCACGAGCATTTTGGAGATGACTTTCTGTTTTACCTTCCTTGGCAGGAAGAACCTTTAGCTAGCTGTCTGTCTTTCCATATTATGTGGAACAACTACAAGACCAACCCAGCAGAAAACCACTTATCTTTTTATTATTTCATAATGGCCTCCATGACATAGCCCCTCTGAAGAGCAGAGTTACTTGGAAGTAACTTGAAAACCTTTTTGAAATCAACCTCCAGAACTAGTTTTCTTGCTGGTTTCTTTGTGTGAAGCAGGAAACTGGGGAATCATGGCAATGTATACCCAAGTTATTCAAGAAGGGTCCTGGCAGAGCAAGGGTTCAGGTGGGCCTTCTAGTTAAATTCTGTGAGCAGCTACTCTAAGTGCTGAGTTGAGAGTCTAGGGTGTGATACATGCTTTAATGCTGGTGTCACTCAACACATGCCTGTCATTCCAGCCCTCCTCAGTGAGGGCAGGGAGGAGAGAAACTGTTGGTTTTGGTGGTGCTTCCAGTGAGGACTGAAAATACTGAGATTTTCCAGCTGACTCGACTGCCTGCTTTCCTAAATGTAAGCTTGCATGGTGAAGAAATATCCTAATTCAGGAAAACAAAAAAAGTTCTCAGAATTAAGTGGAAAAATTGTCCTTAAGGCTCACTGTATTGGTTATTTTTGCAAGGCTCAGGAATTGTCATCTTTTATGCTTAGCTCACGTCAGCCTCATTCTTAAAATTGCAGCATGCCCCAGCTTGGTGCTGCTGGGACATCTGGGGTATTTTTACAGTAATTCCCTTTTAGTGTGAGTTGCAGACTGAAAGGTCAGAGCCAAGGCAGGATGAAGAATAAATGTGTCTGGTGCCAGTGGTGGAAGGAATCAACATTTTATCAAGGAATGACATTTGCTTTTGGATTGCAAGGTCAGGAGACCTAAGCTTGCTGTGAGAGAAGCATGCTGGGCTGCCTGGGAGGGAGAACAGTGCTTCCTTTTCTACCAGCTGGGCAGCCAGTGCTGGAAACCATTCCTCTTTCTTATCAGGCACTTGGAGGCATTACTCACGAGTCATCACTTACTGAGGTTTTGTTCACAGGTTACACCATCTTCTCCCTGGGGTTCAGGGTGCCTGGAAGGTCCTGAGCCCTGTGTTAATAAAGCAGAGACGTGGTGGGATGGAATAAAGGCAGCATTGTTTTGTATGCAGGAAAACACTGCCCTGTCAGATGCCTCCTCATTTTTCCATCCATGCTGTCATGCTGGCTTTTCCCCCAAAGCTCCTGGCGCTGTTCCCGTGGCTCCCTTGGGAGAGCAGGATGAGATAGGAGTGTGATAGGGAAGTGAGGGCTGTGCAGACGTGGCCAGCTGGCAGCACAAAGCCCAGGGCCCCGGCAGGCATGGAGCTGTTACAGCTCCCTCCCTTCCAGCAGTTCTGCCTACCTTCATTACTTCAGTAGGGAGTGCAGGGGCAGGAGCTCTTCTCACAGGTTTAGATTTCAATTCTCATTTCTCAAACTGCTTCTGGGGAGGGATGTGTTTCTCCTCAAAGCTGTTCTCCCTAATAAGCTCTTGCTTGAGGTTCGACTGAGATGGTAAAGATGTGCAGAGCTTGTGCCTGGGGGGGTTGTTTCCCTTAACCCTCCCCTAAGTCATTCTGACAGACCTGGTTCCGAGATGGCTGCTGAGATTTGAGCTCTTTCTGTCAGCTTTTTGAGCACGCAGAAGGGAGGAAAGAAATTCCTCTATTCAGGCATGGTTTTGAAAGGAACCCGTGGAGATGCTAAGTGAGTTTTTTCACTCAGGTGAAAGCACTTCCACCCTCTGAGGTATTTTGAAACTGTCTCAACACATGCTATTTCTCTTGGGTAGAGACTCCTTATTCATGCAGAAAATTATGCCAAGGAAAGACAACCTGGTATCAGGGAAGTGCTGAAATCATTAGCTGAGCTTTTTGTGCTCCCTGTGTTTCCTTGGAGGATGTGTGTGTCCCTGTCAGGTGTGTGGCAGTGGCCCCAAGTGCCATGCCTGCTCTAGGAGAGCTGTGCAGCACTCTGGAGCCCTGGCCTGGGCACAGCCATCCGTGTCCTTTCAGTTCCAGAAGAGTCAGGCTGCCAGATGTGCCGAGCTGCTGGCAGGCACTGTGACATGACCAGCCACCCTGCAGGGATCTAAAGTGGGACTGACAAACTCCAAACTGTATTCCAGGCATGATGTTCACTGTGGTCTGAGGAGGAGGAGGATTGCCAGTGAGGCAGTTAGCTGCAAATACAGTTGCAAATACACATTTCCCAAACATCCCTGTGGCTGTCAGCCTGATCAATGCCACTGTTCTGGGGGTGAATCCTCCCGTGTCAGCTGTTTCACCTCTGCCTCTGTGAAACTTAGTGAATTCGTCCAGTTCTGTTCTCTGGTGCTCTGAAAGATGCTGAATGAGCCCCTGATGAGCTTCTCCTTTGCTAATTCCATCTTCCTTTCCAGAAACGTGAAGGCCTCCTTCAGACCACTCATGTTTCAGAGGAGCTGACGACCACGACAGAGTAAGCACAAAACGCTTCTGTGCAGGATGTGAAACCATTTCTAAGCATGAGGGAGAAGTTTAATCATCCCCCATCCTTGCTAAATTAATGAAATCCTTTCATGTGGTGTTTTTTTAACTACATGAAGATGACTTGGTCTCTGAAAATATGCTACAATGGAGAAGTGTCCTCTGAAAATTCTTGTCTCCTAGAAGCTTTTAACTAAAAGTGACTTATGTGAGCCTTTTTCCCCCCCTGCCTACTGGATGTAGCTATATATATATGCTTTCTGCTTAGTGCTATTTTCTCTATGAAATGAAGGGCTAATGTAGATATTTTGGGGGAGAATTAGTTTGAAAAAAGGCAATTCTTTGACATAGCTCTCTAAACTGAAGTGATACAGTTAGAACTGTAAGGAGAGAAGAGCTCAGCAAAAATAAATAAATAACCCTCTTCCCTATCCAGTTTTTGTACCAGCTTACTTGGCTGTATGTTTTTACAGTCCTTTTTGTAAAGAGAAGGCTAGACATACATTTTGGCTTCAACTGAAAGCTGAGGTTTTCCTTCACATGGCCTGAAGGCAGCTTTTCTAAGAGGGGCTTACATGAGCCCTCCCTCAGTTTATCCATGTATTGGCTCCCGTAGAGTTGGCTCAGCTTCCCATGGCTTTGAAGATAAAATGAAGCACCATATGGTGCTTAGTGGGGAAGATCTTTCAGATGGAAACACACAGAAATGAGATCATAACATCTCTGTGTGGACATTAAAGATCTCATAGTGCTTTTTGTAGGATCAGAGCTCTGGCTCAGGTTTGTGGGCCAAAATTCCTCCCCTCTCTCCTGTGCCCTTGAACAACACAGTGAGCTTGTGCTCTCCTCCAGATGTGGTTTGCAAGATGTGATCTGCAGGCTGGGGCTTGGACATTTTCTAGCAAGAAAGATGTTTGCAGATTTGCCTGTGTGTTTATACGTATATTTTATGGAGCTAATTAATATTACACAGTATTAAAAGGTTACTGCTTAATGTGTTGCATATCCAGACACAAGTACACCTATGGAAAATGCAGTGATCAGCAGAATGCAACATTCACTGAATACTTTCCAATTCTTCTGTGCAAATCAGGGCCTGATTCTCAGCTGATAAACATCTGCATGTCTGGTGATGTCACTGGCTATGTATATATTTCATACGTGGCAGTTTTATTTACATGATATTCACATAGAATGTGTTTTCTTCAGAGAAAACAGGTTGAAGTGAGATAGATGGCTTTGCTTCTTGTAAGCTGTGTGATTTAGATTATATTTGTGGAAATACACATACAAGCACTTTTAGTCATTCACCTTTCATCATAAAAAGTATGGATAAGAAGTCATAATTGTGTGCAAAATGTAATTAAGCATTTCCATTAATTTCAAATGGATTTCCCTGACTTCCCTGGTGCTCTGCTGGAGGTATTCCTGCAGCACATTGGGTTTGCTCTGTGATGTGCTCAGACCCCTGAGTTTGCACAAGCTGTTGGCCCTCTGCATATTGAAGAACAACTCCTTTTAGGGCCATTCTCTTGTCTTCCCAGACTGATTATTCAGGAACTAACTTCATGTTTTTGAATTCTCTGACTTGCAGGATGATGATGGGAAGATTTGGTAAGTAACAACTCTGAAATTTTTTTTGTTTGATTTGTGTCAGGCACAGAAATCTGGTCATTTTTTTCTTTCAGCAGACCAAGACAATGGGTTGAGCAATTCCATGAGGTTGGAATGTGTTGTGGGGGCAGGTTTTGTTACTCCATGCAGATATGGAGCATAATGGGTAGGACCAGAGCTAATTCCTTTGCATGGAGGATCTTATCTCCTTTGTAGTTTCTAGATTTTGAAGTTTAGGCCTTACCAACTGTATGTCTGGTCTTCTAACCAAAACCCATTTCTTTTGCTGTTGCTGCCAAGAGAAGCATTAAGTAATTTCTCATGTTAAGAAGTATGCTCCTGTAAAGGATGAAAAGAAGTAATTTATTTTCTTTATTTGCCCATTATGTCAAAACTATAATTTCTTTTCTTGCAGCATATTTACATTAAATATTAATAAGGCACTGGAAAATAAGTAATGTCAGGGAACTATAGGGGCTAAATAATGTAACTTCAGATACCAAAGTTATTTAGATAATAAATGTTTGTTTATTTGACAGTAGAAAACTATTAAAATGTGTTCTGTAAATAAAAAGTATTTGATCATGGAAAAGCTGTTAAAAACTATGTTGAAAACAGATTTGATTAGATATCGATAGACAGTGCTTTGAAGGTAGAAACATAATTTGAATCTTTATGCTGTCTGTAGGCTTTGCTCTTCTTACACTACTGAAACAGAATTCCCTTGAGTTCAGTTCTAGGCTTTACTGATGTCAGGGATACTACCAGTAATTTTAAATTAACCTAATTAATGTCTGAATTTGACACTGAATGTGGATGCAACCATAGCTGTTTAAATTAGGAGTGAGATAAAGTCAGAATTTGTGTTTCATTTTAATTTTTCTTTCACCCACATATTTTGTGTACCAATTTTGAAAGGCAGAAAAGTGAAATCAGTGAATATGTTTATTTTCAGTTACTTCTGAAATTCCCAGGGCAGTTTGCTCTTGCATATAGCCAGACATCAAAATAGAGTGCTTTTAGCTTGGGTTTCTGTTATGTGATTTTCTGAGAAAAACCTTTAGGTTTTGGACAGGAAACCTGCTTTCCACACTTGTGCTGTTGGAGGTGTTCTGATTTTGATTTTTTTCCCCCAAACCAGAGCGTGATGCCTTTGACACTCTTTTTGATCACGCACCAGACAAGCTCAGCGTAGTCAAAAAGGTAAAAAGTAAAATCCTCGTTTTATTTTCCACAATTTATTTATTGCAATGTTTTTGTGCTTTTGGAAAGATATTCAGAAGCATCCAGCAAATAACAGAAGAAGAATTTGAAGTAGTGAAAGGAGTGTTTATCCCCAAGGATCACTGTGTCAAAGCCAGGTGATGTTTTCCAAATGTAAAAATGTGATTCACCCATAAAGAAGTTTGCTGAATATAAAGCTTTTATAAAAGAGCTGCTTTTGCCCAGGTGCTAAGCACTTATTCCTGTGGTCCCTTGGTTTGTCCTTCAAAGGTTGAGCATCATTGCACAGCATGTCCATCCAGATACATTTTTGGCATGGCTTTGTGTTAGAGCACAGGGGTAGTGTAGCTGTTTATCTCTCTCTGCCAGCTCTTGCTGCTTTGGGGGAATATATAAGAGACTCCATGTAGTTCCATCAGATAGTTCCAGCCTGGCTGTTAAGCTGCTTATTAGGAGAGCAGTATGTGAAGATCAGTGCTGTAAATTGTCCCTTCCCCTTGTGTGAAATAAAGGATGTGTGCTTTTAAAACAATGCTTTGAAGTCTCAGGAAGATTTTTATCTTTCCAGCCTGAAATGTCTTTTAGAAAAGTCCTTTTAAGTGGATGAAGAACTAACTTAACTCTTTGCACACAATAAAAGTGGTAACACTGTGCTATGTGTCCCTTCTGTAAGTGGTGTAAGTGGGCTGAGAGATCTCTGTGCTTCAATCCATTGGCACAGGTCTGGTTTGTAATGGCAGGATTTGCATCTGAAATAGGAATCCCAGACCTGGGCTACATGCTGGCTGTAATCTGTGTGCTGACTGCACACATCCTTCCAGGAACAGAGTTGTGTGCACACCACTGTGCTGTTGGCACCTTCAAGAACCTCAAAAAATTACTGGGGACAGTAAATGCGCCTAGTGCCCACTTCATCTTCAGGCTCTGATGTCATCACAACATTTTCCCAGGCCACTAAAGCTTGCCTGATGTGCTGGAAAAGCTGCATGTAACAGCACCATCTGCTGAGTTCTGGCATCTGGTGCAAACAAATAAGTCCTGCATACTTATTTGTGCAAAAGCAGGCAGCAAACATGCCTATTGTGTTTTTAAAAATGTCTTCAAAGATTATGTTAGCTCTTTCACATCAGCACTGAGTGTAGTGTCTGACATCACTGTTTCTGCTGGTTTTTTTAATAGTCTCTGATCACCTTTGTGAACAAACACTTGAATAAACTCAATTTGGAAGTAACAGAGTTGGAAACCCAGGTAGGAGGCTTTGTCTTCTTGGATGTAGTCTGTGTAAATTGCAGATTTTCAAACATGGCTTGGCTAAGCAGAAGCAGATCTTCTTTCCAGAGTTTACTGAGCCATGAGAGATGGTTATCTTACTGTCACAGCAAAATGATAAGCACAGAATCCAGAGAATTATACCAGGAGTATGGGTAATTCATTTGAGCCTGGCTTGGTGTAATACCAGTCATTCATTCACTGCTATTTTACAGCTTTGCTGAAATAAATGGGCAACTGGATTTGATCTGTCACAAGAAATTGTTGCCTCAGCCATACCCAAGAATTTATTTTTTAGAGGATGTCACATGTGCCATATCATGATCACAAGTGGGAAGTCTTAGAACTGCATAACATTATCCCCCTTAGCCATTCAGTAGCCATCTGGTCTGGTAGGAACACTGAATAGGATGGCTGAAAATATGTAGGATTTTATTCAGTGTTTTCTGAAACCATAAACAATCTATTTTGACTTAGGGGAAAAAATTCTTTTATTAAATCCAACTTCCTACCTGTGATAGGGGAGACTTATTTTCAAGATTTGATTAAGGGCAAAGCATTTACAAACAGATGCTTTCTCCTCATATTTCTCTTTAGTTTGCAGATGGTGTTTACTTGGTTTTGCTCATGGGTCTCCTTGAGGACTATTTTGTTCCTCTTCACAACTTCTACTTAACACCTGAAAGTTTTGATCAAAAGGTGGGTAGAAACTCCAGGTTATGCTCTTTCTGCATTATTATCACATGGTTTTTTCCAATTGTTTTATCATTTCTCCTTGTGCCAGGTGAAACTGAAGCTGGTATATTTTCTTCTGAAGATCTAGCAAATAGGCTGTGGCACTTGATAGTTAAAACCACTAAAAATTATGAAATGAATGGGTAAATTCCTCATAGTTAAGGAAGAAAGGTACTCTGTTCCTGGCATCAGACAACACATAAAGCTTACTAAAGTCCAGGGTGAATGAATACAGTAATGAGTGCTCTGTACTGTATAGTACTTTGCATAACCAAAGTAATTTTTTAGATTGTAATACTGCCTGAAATGTGCTTCTTGTGCTCACAATGAGAAAAGTATTTAGGCTGCGTTTTCATGTCACAAACAAAAGTTTGCCTGTGTCTGCACTTGTTCCCAGACCTGCACATGCATCTGTGTGTATTTGGTGATGGTATATCAGAACACCCTGAGCCTGGTCCTGCTGCAGTCCTGCAGGTGCCCCCTGCTTTTCATTCTGCCAGGTGCTGCAGGGCAGAGGATAGGTTTTGTGTTGGCTGAGCTGCAGCAGGAGGGAGCTAGGTCAAAAAGGGAAACATTGGCTAAAGTTTAAAGATGTAATGCTTTGTGAGTGTTGTTTAAAATGGGGTTTTCATATTGGCTCCTGCACACGTTGCTGTCAGCTCCTCAGCAAAGGTGCATCTCTGGGAAGGCTGGTTCTCTACTACATCTCACACATCCCTTAGAGCTTTTTCTTGCTTCTTTATCCCATTGTCTTCAATTTTTGCTCTTGTAGAAATGCAGGATGCTGAGTTGCAGCCAGCATCTGTTTGGTTACAATTTTATTACTAATGGTTGGAATTCATAAAGATTACCCAGTATTACAGAAGTGTTTTGTTTGGAGACTTAGCCTTGAGGAATGGGGATTGTAAATTGAAGAAGGAGAGGTAGGCTCTGTGTTTTGGGGGGAAAAATACCATGTTGGAAGTGATTGGTTTTGTCACAATGAATGAGGAGGAACTGCAGCAGGTGAAAGAGATTATTAATAAAGTCCTGAGTAGTAAACTATGTCTCTCCAGAACTGTCTTGTGCAGTGACAAAGCTGCACAGAATTCATAATGTTAATTACCTTGCCTAAATTTCAGTAAGTGCGGACAAGAAATCTGCTATGCAGATCTCTTTAAATTGTAATTTTTGTTCCTCAAAGGAGAGATTAAATGCAGACACCTGCCTTTTTTCACTTTCCCTTTTGGTCCATTTTCTTTTTTCGGAATTTGTGCTCCTGTGTGATCTCCAGGCGCTTGTTCAGAAACTCTTTATGTACAGTTGTGCTTAGCTTATTTTGCAGATTCTCTGCACAGCCTGCCCAGGAGCTGCTGTCACCAAGCACTTTATGGTTCTGCTATGCTTAATCATGTAAATGTTTAATATTGATTTAAATAGAATTATCAAGTACAGAGAGAATAAGACTTCTAAAAATATTTGATTAAAGGCTTTTGATGTCTGTATAACTCTGAGATTCTAAACCTTTTATGTCTTTCAGGTGCACAATGTTTCTTTTGCTTTTGAGCTGATGCAAGATGGAGGCCTGAAGAAGCCAAAAGCTCGCCCTGAAGGTATGGACGTGCCACGTGGCTTTAAACTGTGTATAAAGTCATCAGGGCAGGTGTATTTCAAGTGCAATTCCATTCAAAGTAGTAATAGTACCACAAAGTGGAGCTGTGAATGGGCCCCTTGAGGGTTTTCCAAAGGATTCACTGTCTGTGCCTGGGGTATATCCTGCCCATGCTTCTTGTCTGGAGCAGATTCACTGAGGTGTCCAAGTGGAGCTTTAGTGAGTCATTCAAGAGCTGTTCTGTGCTACATGATAAATTCAGCTGGTGTTTTCAATAACAATCCAAGCAGAAAGCTTTTCATGGTCTAATTCTCATAATTCTTGCAGCTGGTGCTAGTCTGGACTCCTGTGATTGGATTTCAGTGACATATAACTGGAAGGCTTTAAGGGTTTTTTTAGGAGAACCAGTACAAAAAATCTTCTTCATTTATGTGGATGTAGGGGTTGGAACTAAAAAGTGTAAAACCCAGGTTTTCCCTTTAAGTCTCTGAACTTCAAAATTATTTAATAACTTTAATAATTGATGAGGTCTGCATTGTTCCTTGCACTAGGGATAAAAAGAGGAATTAAAACTTTATGACTGCTAAATGAGCAATTTTTATTCCTGATGTTACAGACTTTGGATGTGTTACAAGCTTCTGCATAACAGAGGAAAATGAGGACCCTGCAAGAAACATTTGTTCTGACTTAAAATGGGAAAAATGGTGATAGTAAATAGATTAACAAAGAGTGGAGATGGTTGTAGAAGGGAGAAAAGGCAAAAGACAATATTAAATGGCTTATACATGCTCTCAGTACGTTGTTGTAAACTGGGGAATGAAAAGTGCTCCTGAAGAATGCTGAAAAGAATGATGAAAACCAGAAGAGGTTACATTTTCATGAGGCTTTCTTACATTATCATGAATGGTAAAACACTATACCAGATCTTGCTTGTGGAGATTCAATAAGGAGCAAAATATGCTTTTAAGTGTTTTACTGATTGAAAATGTAATTAATATAAGCTGGAGAGCCAAATTAGCTTGTACAACATTCCTTTTTTGCTTTTTGCTGCTGCAAGATGTACCATCTCTTGTGTGTTTTCCTTCCTCTTCTCTGTGTGTGGCCATTCCTGGCAGCAGTTCCCAGCTGTTGGAGTGAGTGTGCTCGTGTGGTATCTGTGAAATTGACTGTGGCTCCTGAAAAACTGCTCCCCTGGAGAGGACAGTCACATCTTGGGAATGGCTTGTCACCCTAGTGTCATTTGTAAGATCTCCTCATGTATTGCAATATGTCTTTCACAGAACAGTAATTAATTTTGACAGAGAATCTGAAGTTGTGCCAAAGAATTCTGTGTATAGTTATGCTCCGTTAATGCCACACTCTGATCCATTGTTGGTCATCAATAGGCTGGGAAGCCTGTCAGGTGAATCCATGCTCTTTAGCATGAATTGGGTAGTAAATGCCTCTTGGATTAGAACCATAGAATTGGAAAAAACCTCTAAGACCATTGAGTTCAAGCATTAACCCAGAGCCATCATGTTCGCCACTAAGCCACATCCCCAAGTGCCACATCTACACAGCTTCTAAATTCCTGCAGGGATGGGGGATGCACCACTTCCCTGGGCAGCCTGTTTTGATGCTTGGCAACCCTTTTGATGAAGGAATTTTCCCAATACTCAGCTGGGGAAACCTGCCCTGATACAACTTGAGGCCATTTCCTCTCATCCTGTCCCTTGTTCCCTGGCAGCAGAGCCTGATCCCCCCCAGCTGTCCCCTCCTGTCAGGGAGTTGTGCAGAGCCAGAGGGGCCCCCCTGTGCCTCCTTTTCTCCAGGCTGAGCCCCCCCCCAGCTCCCTCAGCCCCTCCTGCTGCTCCAGCCCCTTCCCCAGCTCCGTTCCCTTCTCTGGACATGCTCCAGCCCCTCAATGTCATTTCTGATGTGAGATTCCCAAAACTGCCCCCAGGATCTGAGGTGGTGGGCTGTGGCAATGTTCGCAGGGGCCCCAGGATGAGGGAAGAGATGAGAATCTTGACTCCATGTTTCAGAAGGCTGATTTATTATTTTATGATATATATTATATTAAAAGAAAATTATATACTGAAACTATACTAAAAGACGAGAAAGGAGACATCAGAAGGCTTGAAAGGAATAGAAAGGAATGATAATAAAATCTTGTGACTGCTCACAGCCTCAACACAAGTGGCTGTCATTGGTCATCAAGTGAAAACAATTTCACATGCTGGGTAAACAATTCTCCAAATCACATTCCAAAGCAGCAAAACATGGAGAAGCTGAAGCTTCTCATCTTCTCAGGAGAAAAGACTCTGGCAAAAGGATTTTTCATAAAATATGTCTGTGAAAGTGGGCCTTTCTGTCCAACCAGTTTAATTACTTGTAGGATTTAAGGAAAAACATTTTCTAGAGCAGAACATTGTTTTTATCCCTACAGCTTGTGCTTCTGCAGTGCTTGGAAGAAATAGGTCTTGTTAAATCTTGTATGTGTCTGTGTACAGGTGTAAACAGAAAGAGACCATACAGGTCATCTCCTCTTCTCTGTTCTTGCAGCCAAATTCAGTGGATTGCGCCAGCAGCAGAACGTGGTGCTGAGTTTTTGCAGCAGAACTATGTTGTGGTGGATTAATTTAGTATCCTTGAATGAGGTTGTTATGGACTGTGAGAGTTCTAAATTAATGGAATATTTTAAAGTAATTTTAGAGTGTATGGTCACTTTCAGTTAACATTTTATTAGTTGTTGCTGTTGGTAATGTTATAGCTGTGCACATTTTCTCTTATTATAATAAGAAGCAGGAGGCTGAGAATGGTTATTCTTGGAAATACCTGTTAGACACTGATCAATAAGCAGTAGTAGTCTAATGCAGCAGTCTAAGACATAACAAGGTCTGAAAGTTAGGGAAATGGTAAACTGGAATTACAGTATAACTTTTGCAGCAGTCGTTATTAACCATTGGTCTGTATTGTCAAGGAATGGAGATGGAATTTTCACTACTGGAAGACAGAAAAAAAAAAGAAAAAATTCAGCATTAAGCTTGGGTTTTAATTTGGGTTGGCTTGTTTTAATTTGGGTATCAACTTTCTGTGATACCTGGAAAAATTAGAAATTTTGTATTTCAGTTTTCTGGATAGACTTTTTTTTTCAGGATGCATGACTTCACAGCAATTAGGATCTTTCTTTGGGGCAGGAGAAGATTCTTCTGCAAATGTGAACTGAAAATCATAAATGAAATATGTAAAATAATACAGGCAAAAAGTGTAGAAACAATATTTAAGAGATTATTGAAAATACCAGATGAAGTGTGGGGGTAGAGAGTGGTATCCAGTGTGAGGTGGGAGGGAAGGGTGGAGAGGTCCTGGCAATGAGTCTTCAAAGCAGACAGTGGGGGGGTTTCCCTTGGACCTCACATTAATTGTGCTTGGTCTCTTAACAGTTTGCTGTCTTCCTAGGACTTATGATGATTTTTAAATTATCTATTCTTCCTCACTTCTGCTTCCATATATATTGGTCACTATGTATTTTTTGCTGCTTCCTACTCATTTCTGTCATGTTATATCCAAACTTTATTTCTACGTCTTCAGCTTTCTCTGTCCTGTGCCTCCCCTCAGAATCCCTGCATTCTTGGCATTTTATTGTAGTATAGGTGGAGAGGTGCTAACAGGAAAGGTTTTTATTCAGAGCTATTCCTGACCTGTTCCCTGGCCGAGCATGATAAGAAGGGTTATTAAATAATAAAAAGCTTGGAGTCTGCTAAGGATACAGGCTTTGTTAATTCATGGACCATATCAGAGCTGTGGATGTGGTTCAGTACCTCAGGATGTGCGTGACTGCTTGTTCACTGCTTCTGTGGCCCAGGAAGTCATTAGGAGTATTTCCCAAAGCCTTATCCCAGGTCTCTGACAGAAGCAGACTTTCTCTGTAGCCAATTTTAGTTGGAGAAGGGAATTACCTTCCTGTTTCCCAGAGAGAAGTTAGCTGTGACTGTGTGATTGTAAAGCTGTTTTGAAGCAAATTGTGCAGGACATTTAAAAGGCTTGGGGAGATCAGAAATCTGTGGATATTTTTTTATTCACAATTCCATCAGCTCAGAGAAGTGGGGACTTCTGTTCCTGTCAGGACAAATGAAGGAAAACACAATGCAAATTAAGGATTTCTCCTTTTCTTCCACAGATGTTGTCAACTTGGACCTGAAGTCTACCCTCAGGGTTCTGTACAACCTTTTCACCAAGTACAAGAACGTTGAGTGATCCTGGAAGCTTCTGAGATCTCTTCATCCTTCAGCCTCCCCAGGCAGAAGTTACAATAAACCCGCCCTCTGCATGCTCCCATTGTGCCTTATGCTATGTACTTCTTGCATTCTTCCTACAGCTGATGTGTTCTTTCTGTAGCTGTTTGGAAGACAATCCCACTAAAAATGATGCATGTATATTCTCCAGGTCACTTGAAAATGTGTAGGTATTTCACACTTTTGCCAAACAGATCTGTTGTTTGCTATGACCCACAAATGTTCTTTTGAGAAAGGAAATATACCACTAACTACTTTAATAAGCAGGGAGAACATGAGACTTTCCTCATGGCTCAAGATTCTTTACTTCTGCAGAAGACTTTCTTTTGCATACTCCTTGGTTGCAACTGGCATTTGATGATTTTCCAGGCTTAGAGTGTTAACAGTAGAAAATCACCTTTGGAATTTATTTAGAAGCTGAGCCTTTTCTATTAAATAAGGGTTTGTGTGTTCTGTTGGGTGGGTTGGCTGAGGGGAATTACAGGCACTGTCTGAAGCTAATGGCAAAAGCTCTTCAGTTTTTGTGTTCACCTCTTTCTACTCAGTGTTACTTCCATTCAGTGTTTACACAGAATAAGTCTTGCAATGGGATTACCAACTAATCCTTTGGTGTCTATTTTTTATTTAATCTCTTCTAGGAGAAAATTTGGTTGCTAGGGCCACTGTCACCTGTTAGGCAGCTTCAGTCAAGTTGGTCCAGAGCTGGTCACACAGGCACAGGCTGGGTTAGTGCATTTTCCCCTGTCCTTCCTGAAACTAACAGAGGGAATGTGCTGGAGCAGGAGCCATCTGAATGGATTTTTGAGGAGAGCTTTGTGGAGGAAATGGGATTGGCAATTTCAGAGTAAATGATATGTGGAATATGCATTCAGTATCACCCTTTTCCTTTGAGCACACAGAGGAGAGATTTGATTGCTGCTTTTATGTATCACAGCAGCAGCTTTTGTTTTATGGGCATCCATTGTTTATGGGCTGAAACACTAAGCAGAGTGCCCTGAAGGAGAGCAAGTGCAATTGCTCTGCTCCATAGGCTCACTTGAGTCCTGTTGTAAGTCAGCGTCTTCTTTTCCTAAATTTCAATTTTTTTGCACCAAATATTATTTGCCTTTGAGCTCAGATTCAAGAGAAAACATGTTATTTGAGCAAAATAATTTTACAATTGGGATTTTCTCCTTCAGTTTTTCATCTCAGAGGGAGAGAAATGAGCTTCTGCTTCTTTGCTGTGTATTTTTGGGTTCTGAGTTCTAGTATTTGGATTACTTGGATCACCTTCCCTCACACCTCTAAAAAAAAAAGAAAGATGGAAGGAAGTTGCCCTTTTTTTGCATGAAAAATTCAGATCTCCTCTGCTCTGCAAGGTTCTCTGGGGAATCTTTGCATGCCTGTGCTTTAGGAAGGAGCTGACCTCTCACTGTTTATACTGAGCCTGGAACAAGGATGTGCAGTTCATATGGGGCCACTGAACTCCACCACAACGCCAACAGAGGAGACTTGCTCCAGGAGAGATGCTAAGGCCTGGTGGACAGCTCTCCTGGCAGATGAAGGAAATTGGTCTAACTTTTGTGCTGAGAAATAAAGGTATCATGAGGCTGGAAGGTCACTGAGCTGAAAAGTCTCTCAAACTTTTAGTTTAATGCAGGGTTATTTGCAGGAAGCAAGTCTGTTAAATAGTTGTTATTCCATCCTCCTTCCTTCGGGTCATGTGGAGGTGCCAGCTCTGTTTATATTCTCTGAGTTGCTGGGAAAGGCCTCCAGAGAGTGTAGTTTTTGAAATTGCAAGCAGTATTAATATCAAAAGCAAGCAGAAGATAAAAAGAAGAGATGGGTGAGGGTGATTTGGCTTTAGAAAGGGAATGGTTGTTTCTGAGCTGGGATCATAGAGCTGGCATCTTCACGGCACATAAGCAGAGGTGAGCAGGTTATGACAGGTTATGAAAGAGTGTCTGTTTTGTTGAATTCTGTGTTTCTGGTCCCCTTGCTACAACCACAGGTCTCCTTTAGCATTCCTTCTGTTAATGTCCCTGTCAGCAGGACTGCGCCTGGATCAGGAGTCACAGCCTGTTCTGTTGTGGTCTTGTTTGTTGGGAGATGTTGCACAGGGAAAATACTTTTTTCGTTCCTTGGCTCCTGGCTGTCTGGCCAGCTCACTGTTTTGTAGACACTGTATTTATTGTTAACCAGATTTGTGAGCAGGGCAGATTGAACTGACGTGTGGCTTCCCAATGAGCCCAGTTCCCAGGAGGAGCCATGTAGGTAAAGCTTCTCTGAACACCTGCTTTTGTCCTGCCTTTCTGTGACACATGCACCATAATTCTTTGCCTCTCAGAAAGCTGAGTCAGTGTTAAAGATGTTATTCGTTATATTTTTGTGTTACTGGGGGGTTTTACATATGGGTACCAGTCTGAATCCTGTTGAGTTCATCTGGAATGCTGAATGCTCTGCAGCATTAAAGCTCCCACATTTGTAAGTGCTTAATGAATGTCTGTCTTTTCCTGTCCATACAACTTGACTTTTAGGTGCATTTACTTGACACACTCAGTTACAGTAAGCTGTATTACCACTGAAAAAGCTCAGATAGTCCTCAGCTTCATTCTGTTTTTCAAGATGAAAAATGGACAGTGGCAGATTTTTTAAAATCAGTTTAAACTGCCTAGGATTTCTTACCCCTCTTCCCCACACCCCAGTACTGTCAGTATTAATGTGTTTTTTAAGAGTCTTTTCTACTGTTTTTAACAGTGTTTACTCTGGATTTCTAACTACTAAAAACCAGCCTTGCAGATAAAATTCTGGACTTGTCATATGTTGGAGATATCCATCTTAGTGATGAGTTGTGTACTGTAAGCAAGTTACAATGCAATGCTATGTTTGCTAAAATTCACAGCAGGAGTGTTTATGCATGGTTTTTGACAGTTGTACTATTTATTCAAATAAACAAATAATGATCACTATGTTTTCTACTTTTTTTTTATTCTCAGTGGAAATATCTGTGGGAAGAACTTATGGATGATGAGCCTCCCTTTGCTCTAGTGTGCAGAGAGTGTAGAGTGGCTCTGCAATACAGCAGGGCTGTGTGAAGGAGCAGGAAAATGCATTATCAGAACTTGTTATTGCTGTTGAATCCTTGACTTGTTCTTCAGTGGCTATTTTCATGTGGGGGCCAGGTGTTTGTGGTGGGGGTGTGTGCATGAGATGTGCTTTGAGAACTTACAGAAACACCCACCCTGGGTCAGCCCCTTGGAAGCTTGTCCAGGGACTTCTTTGCCCTATTTTCTTGTCATGTCTCCTCAGATTCTGGTTGCAAAACAAAATGTCCTTGTTAGAGGCTCCCTTCTTGAGATTAAGACTCAACAGAATTTCAGGAATGTTAAAAGGGATTGCTTATTACTGTAAAATCTAAGAGAAAGGGTAGGAAAACTCTAGGAACTATATAACCATGTATTAACAGTCATCTGCAAAGCAACAAATACATGAAAAATGTATAAAAAGCAAAAAATATTTAGGCATCATACGCATGAAATCAAATGCAACTCATACAGGATTGACTACTGCTGTCTATGTAAGTCTGGATATTCCATGCACTGGTCATACATCAGGTTTTGGAGGGAAATCTGTGTGTTAATAAATGCAACTCACAGCTGGAGGAAATGTTCAGGGAAAGTGGTTTCTGTGGGGAGCTCTTCCTCTTTAATCACTGATGTGAAAGGGGAGGAAGAGCAGCAGCACTGTCTGCTGGAGATAACTCATATCTCACATCAGGGATTTTGGCCCTGGTGTGCCTAACTTCCTCTCTAGGGATAAATAAATTAATTTTGTAAGTTTCTCCTTCTGCCAGGTAGGTAGAGTGGTGCTGTTCTGCTTTATAAAATACTGGAAGGAGCACGAAGAAAAGGTGTATTGGAACATGATGTCTGCTTTTGTCTAGTTTTTTATTATTTACAAAGCAGAAGTGCTCTGTGAGTCACCCCAGAGGCAAATCAGCCCGGTCATGCTGGGCAGTGCCATCCAAGAACAATCATACCTTTTTAATACTTTCTGGTGCTTCAGGAGCTGCAGGGCTGCATGTTTCTGCCCTTGTGTTCCTGTTTATTTCAGTCTCTGCAGCAGGGACCAGCACACACAGTTAAGTTCCGGATGGGACCACGGTTTCGTTTTTAAGAGCAGAGCACTGCGGCACAACTTCCCCTTTGTGTGCTTTGTGCTGCCCTGCATGGGAGACCTCCAAGCCTGGGCTCAGCCCTCACCCCCAGAAATTGCATCCTTACTGCTGGGACGAGGTCTTGGAGGAGCTTCTGGAGAGTTACTGAAGGAGAGAATAGTAAGTCTGGAAAGTGGGGCTCCTTTGGTGCTTTTTTTTCATAATTAATGTTCTTAACTGGGAGATTTTCTGTGTCTGTGTGTATTGTTCTTGCTAAGATAACATCTCTTCTGATACTTATGAGCAAAGATGGCTCCTGAGAAGTCTGGTACTACACAGGGAAGTGAAAATAAATTTTAAACTGGGTGCACAATGTGCATTCTTTTTCCCCCCTCATTTATTTTTTAATTCTGGTTTCCCAAAGGTTGAAATATTACTATTAACATTCCCACTTGGTTTTTTTCTCCTCCTTTGTGTGATCTACTTGTTTGAGCTAGGCAGAGTGGGGCTTTTGTCTTTTCAAACAGGAAATTAAACAGGTGAAAGAGTTTGGTAGCATTGGAAAGTGCCTTGTGAATATTCTACAGTTGATTTGTAAGCCAGAGACCCCCATTAGTGCTTTGTGTGGTGCTTTGGGGATGTCTGGGAGCCGGACCCTGTGAAGGCTCATGGAGGAAAAGTGAGCTCTGACCCAACTTGAATTAGTTTTTTACCAGTAGATGTGACATGGCAAGTTTGTGCAATAGACTAACTCCTGACCTAAGAACAATTCTTTTCTTGGCAGCCACTGCAGGTGGCACACAAGAAATCAACCACCCCTTGGGTTTAAAGGAAAGCCTGTACATCCAGGGCATTCTCAGAGAACGAGCATTTCATTCAGAGAATGCCATTTCCTTTGAATAGTCCATAATTAAACATCTATGTTATTTAAAGATGCTGTAATGAAATGCCTGTACAGTCAGTATTCGAGCAGTTGTCTCTTACAATGTATTTCAAGTACTGATAAAAAACTTGTGCGGGAGGATGGGGGCTGGAAAACCAGGATGTCAGCCACAGCTCTGAGCAGCAAGTTTAACTGATGGGAGGCAGGAGCTGGTTGCAGCAAAAACAGAAATTTGTGTGTGACAATCAACTTTTCTGACCTTTCCTGTTTTTCATTACACAGTTCACCCAAGGAGGTGTCCCAACCCTGGCATGTTCCATTTTGTGTTGTTCCTGCAGTATATTATTCTCTGAAAGGCTGTTGCCTGGGACAAAGCCTCACCAATATGCTGCACAGCCACATGAAGGGCTGCTTGTGAATACTAATTATGAGTAATAAGCAATGGGTGTATTAAATGCTGGAGAACTGCAGTTCTCAGGCTCTGAAATGCCTGTGGGAAATCAATACTGATAAATGTGAGCTGAAATACAATAAATGATGGGCTCTCATTGGTGTGTTGCTATGTAGGAATAAGATCTTGGAGATCTAATAGATAATTCCCAATAAAGGGTCAGCAGTCATGAAAAAAGCAAGCAGGACTTAGGAGGAGAGGAGCAGAGACCACTGTGCATGCTGAAGTGTACCCTTCTAAATCTGGGCAGGTCTGGTTCCTAGCACTTCCAAAAGGCTGTGATCATGCTGGAGGAAGCTTAGAAAAGAGCCCTGAGGATGAGCAGCTGGTTTACCAGGGAAGGGTAACTGTAGGCTGTCTTTGCTCAGTTTTGGAAAGAGATGGACACGGAGGCTTTGGGTTTCTAGGGCAGGAGTGACACGGAGCATTAACACAGTGGTGTGAAAAATGTGGATCAGTTGGTGTTTGCCTGGTGCCTTCAGGAACAGCTGGTGGGTCAGAGCAAGAAACAGGAGATGGGGCTTCAGGTGGTGTAGGGCCACACTGCACCTCCTCACTGCTGAGGGCTGAGAGAGACAGACACATGTTCAAGGGGTGAGCAGGGAGTTGATGGGAAGCAAATATGTTGACAGCTCCTAGTGACCAGGCTCCCCAGCTTTGCTTTAGGAAGTCTGAACTGCAGACTGTTGAAGTGTTTTGGAGAAGTGTCTCTATATCCTTGCACTGCTTATATATTTTGGGGTTCTGGTTTTTGTCCCTAAGGTACTGAAAGGGGGAAACCAGGGAAGTTAATCTTACCCAGGGTAGCAATTTTAACTCTGACTGACACACAGGACTGAGGCCCTAGAGGGTATTATGCCACCTTATTGCAAATTCTGAATTTCAGGCCTTTCCTTACAGGTTTCCAAATTTTAGAGTGGCTTCTGATGTTCAGGTTCCTTGGCCAAAAAGAGCCCGGGGGTGTGGCAGGCAACACACCACTTTGATAGCTGAAGGAAGTAAAAGATACACAAATGGAATATTGCAAAGCTGAGTAAGTTGTGGCTTACACAGGCCATTTCTGTTATAAGCTGGACCTCCCCAAGGCATCACAGCTGTCAGAAACCTAATTTAAAAATAAGTTGTCCTTTGGGTTGCTCTCTGTTAATTAACTTCTCTCAGTTAATTTCATCTGGGCAGTCTTATCTCACACAGCTCAGTTGTTCCTCAGGCACTACATCACTCAATTTCTCCTATCTTTTTTAATCAAGCACCTTTTTACAGATGGCATTCAATTTTGCCACCACCATAATGAAATGAATTCTCTTGTGACCCTTTCTCCTAGTGCCTTGCTGGCAATTTTGTACCAATTTGTTTTACCAGATTGATGTGCAAAAGCATCCAATTACTATTTTCTACTCATATTCTGTCAGCTTTGGCAAATCTTTGTTAAAACACATGTTCATAACATACTGACTGGCCCTTGTAAGAAATATGTGAAAGCCTTCAGAGCAGCACTGTGCTCTTTGGTGTATAAAGCTATCGAGCAGAGGAAAGCCACTTTGGAGATGTTCTGTCCCACAGCATTTTCAGCAGGTGCCTTGCTCTGAGTGGTGGAAGCGCCTCACTTCAGGCACCTGCAGCACCAGCCAGGTGCCTGAAGTGCACTTTAGGAAGTTTCTTTTCCTAAAACTAGGATTAGCTACTCATTTAAATGCTCTGGGTTGTTTTTTAAAAGTCCCATTTCCACTCATTTCACAGGAAGAGTTAGAAAACAGGGCTCTCAATGGGGGCACTGTGGTCAGGGAGTGGAAGAACTCTCCTGCAGGAACCTCCGGAGCATCTCATTTTCTGTTAAAAAAAGCACAAAACCAGTCAGCATCCCCTCTCCCTCTCCTACAGTGGCCCAGCAGTAAAAGACTGGTCATGATAACTGCTCTGCTCTGACTTCCAAAGATTTTTGGACTGTTGGGAAGGATGAGTTCTCTTACTCATGCGAAAACTACAGTCTGCTCTAAGTGTCCAGAGCCCTCATCCTCCTGTAATTTCTTTCACCTCTGCAGGCCACAGTACAGTTGCAGTTTGTAATTCTGATTTCTGGCACTTAAATCAGCATGCATTTAGTTTATGAAGAACCATTTTGCTTCTTGCATGTCTGGAAGGCTGGGCCCAGAAAGCAGTGGGAAATGGAGTAAAATCCAGATGGTGACCAGTCCCAAGGAGTCCCCAGGGCTCAGCTCTGGGGCCAGTTTAATGTCTTTATTGATGATCTGGACAAGGGGATCAAGGGCACACCCAGTCAGTTCATGGACAGCACCCAGCTGCGTGGGAGTGTGGATCTGCTGGAGGGCAGGAAGGCTCTGCAGAGGGATCTGGACAGGTTGGATCCATGGGCCCAGGCCAGTGCTCTGAGATTCCACAAGGCCAAGGGCCCAGTCCTGCCTTGGGTCACACCAACCCCCTGCAGCTCCAGGCTGGGGCAGAGGGGCTGGAAAGATGGGAAAGGCTCTGGGGGTGCTGGGGAGAGCGGCTGGACAGGAGCCAGGCGTGCCCAGGGGGGCAGGAGGCCAATGGCACCTGGGCTGTGCCAGCCCTGGTGTGGCAGCAGGGCCAGGGCAGTGACTGTCCCCTGGGCTGGCACTGCTGGGGCCACACCTCAGATCCTGGGGCACTTCTGGGAACCTCAGGACAAGAAATGGACATGGAGGGGCTGGAGCGTGTCCAGAGAAGGGAACGGAGCTGGGGAAGGGGCTGGAGCAGCAGGAGGGGCTGAGGGAGCTGGGGGGGCTCAGCCTGGAGAAAAGGAGGCACAGGGGGGCCCCTCTGGCTCTGCACAACTCCCTGACAGGAGGGGACAGCTGGGGGGGATCAGGCTCTGCTGCCAGGGAACAAGGGACAGGATGAGAGGAAATTGTCTCAAGCTTTGCCAGGGGAGGTTCAGGTTGGTCATGAGGGAAAATTTTTGCACTGAAAGGGTTCTCAAGCATTGGAAGGGGCTGCCCAGGGAAGTGCTGGAGTCACCATCCCTGGAAAAACACAAAAGCAATGCAGATGTGGCACTTGGGAACACGATTTAGTGGTAGGTGAACAGTTGGGACTCAATGTTCTCAGAGGTTTTTTTTCCAATTTAACTGATTCTATGATGCTATACTAGAATTTGTAAAAGAGATTGCTCAGATGCCAATAGCTGTCCTTGTCTCCCCATATCTGTACCAGCTGGTCCAATAAAGGAAGCTGCTTATATTTAGTAACTTGTCTCAGTAATATAACTACTGAGTTCTTGATTTAATAGTCCTTAAGTACTGATAATTTTTATATTTTCGAGCATTCATGGTATTTCATGTCCATGAATACCTAGGGAAGCTTGTTTTTCACTTCAGTTGAAATAGGATTTTACTTATCTAATACAGGGAAAATACAACTAGATGTGATTAAAACAAGTTTTAGTTCAGGTCTTCATGTCTTTTTTTCCTACGTTTTGATGATTAACACAAAAAAATTAAAATGGTTTTTAACTTCTTTTTCTTTGCACACATTTAAATATATTTTCAGATTTTTTTAAAAGCAGCTAGTGATGAAATAGTAACTGATAAAAAAACCCCTCTTTAGTTTGTTTGTTTTCTTAGCACTAATTTGGATCTTTATGTCTCTTTACTCATGTTCCCTTTCCCCCAATGTTTTTTACCAGTTTACCAGGAGTGATTAAAGACAATGGATCCAGACTTTTTAAATGCATTTACACAGCCTTCTACACTTGATCGATTCCTAACTGAAGATGTCATTGCTAAAGGTATGTGCTTTATGAACCAGGACAGAAAAAAGGCCAAAGAATCACCTGAAGGGCCAAACAGAAAATGTGCTGTACAAATGAATTCTATATTTTTCAACAGTGATCCCATGGCTGTATCAGAAATGAGTAAGCCCTGTGTGTGTCATTTGGCTGCTGACTCTTTGGGGGCAGATCATGAAGAAGCAAAACAAAGTCCAGCTGGTTCTTTAACTGAAATTTAAGTTTCACACATATCTGACCAAGTGTGTTTTCCTCTTTCTAGAATTGTCCATCTAGATCTTAGGGTTCTCATTTGAAGCACACTGAAGCATAATTTCCAACAGCAGGTTTGGTAGTCCGCTATACCAGTTTTTTGCTCATAAGGAATTAGCTAAAATGAAAAATAAATGCTTCTACATCAGGCAATCAGCCATACTGGGAATATCAAACTGATAGCAGATTTAGCTGCACTTGCTTTAGTCATATCTGATAACTGTGATGGATCTTGTTTGCTTCCTTCCACAGGCGAGAAGAGGAAACTTATAAAACCAACCTCAAGCAACAACCCCAAACTGGAAGAATTGAAACTGGTACCACTTCTTTTACTGCATTGTTTAACCCTCACCTCAAGTTGTGCTAAAGCAAACAAAGAACCTGACTCTTTAATCTCTTTCAACCCTGTAAATTACCCAGCCTTGTGACCCCAGTCCCCAGTCTCTACAGATGGGAATGAACTCTGCTTTTGGCCTTTGAGTTTCACACAAAGGATGCCAAACTTTTGTTCCAGGACAGCATCAGGGTGGCTGGGGCCATACAGGATCCAGCTTCCAATGCAGTGAGCACTACTGGGTGTGGAGTGCAGATACAAACCTGAGTGGCTTCTGATGTGACACCTCTCCTAACCTGGGCTGCATGGGTGAGCCAGAACCAGAAGCACCCAGTTACTCTTTCATTGTGAGGGTAACGTAGCAGCTACAAGAATCCAGGGATTCTTGGGAATCTTGGGATCTCAAGCAGAAATGTCAGCATTTGCTGTGACTAAAAAGAGATATGGTGCAGGTTTGCTGCACTGATCCCATGGTAACTTTTAGGAATGCTCTACTGACTTGCAGCAGCCTTTACCAGCAGCTGGCTCAGCTGGCAAGGTTAGCAGAGAGCAGAGGGGGATGGGATGAAGAGTATGCAAGTCACCAGGAATTCAGGATGAAAGTTTTCAGGCCCTTCTACGGTGCATTACCTTCTTGAAGTAACTGTGAAGGATGAGTTCTATTCCACAGGCAAGTACTTTATTTCTATCTAATTTTGAAAGTCTCCCCAGTGAGTTCAATCACTGTTTCAATTTCTCTAATGACACAGTCCACATAATAAAACTTCTTAGAAGAAAAATGGAATGTGTCTTATGCACTCCTTGCATTATAGAGGTGCTGAAATTGTTATAAATATTATGAAAAGCAGCTTAAGATATGTGCTGTTGTTTGTATTTTGTAGCATTTATAAACATGTAGGTGTGTTTCTATATTAGGTATTCATGCACATTTGATCAAAAAGTTTTGATTTTGTGTTAGGTTTTCATGATGTTGTTATACCAAAGGGAAAGTCTGAAAAGTGGTGCTGCAAAATTTAATTATGTTGTCTACAGAAAGACTGGATTCGTTATTTTGAGATTGCTGAAAATGAAGAGTTTTCCTCAGTTATGAAAATTTCTGTGAGCTTCAGTGCTTAATCCATTTCCTGTCAGAGATTCCTGAAATGATGTTCATCACTGTCTAATGTCTTTTCTTTGGGTGATGAGGTGATGGAAATTGTGTCCTGAGGGAGACAAAGTCCTCTGGGTTTCCATCAGTGCCCCTTGATTGCCTTCCTAATCTAAAGATTTGATGGCTTCTCTAGAGAAACATTTGGGATGGAGACAGGGACAGGAAGGAATCTTCAAGGGAAGAACAAGGGGAAGCAAAGAAACTCACTGGGGAGATACACTTTCACTGCATTTTCATTTTGAGGTGACTTTGGAGAAGTGAGAAATACAAAATGGCTCCCTGTAGTTGCTATAAATATCCAGCTGCATGTAAAATAGAAGATGGTTAAATTTGGAAGCCAGCAGCAAACTTCACAAAGTACTCCTTTTCTCCTTTCCTTGTTTGCTCATTTGTAGACAGGAAAATCTGCTCTGCAGCTGAGTGGAGCCCCCACAACTGAGCAGAACTGTGTGAGCTGCAGGCTGGGAGAGCAAAGGAGGGATGCCATAGGGCTGCTCGGCAGCGCTTGCTGCTTTTCTGACTTCCCTCTGGCTGGACTCTTGTGTTCAGGGTTCTGCTCTACCCCTCACACCTCCGAAGTGTCACCAAGCATCAGCTGAAGAGCACAGCTTTCTGCTCTTGTTATTTCTTAGCTGAGGATGCCTTTTACAGTTTCACAGCTTCCCAGTTCAGGCTTTTTTATTTCTTGTGCAGTTTCAAGCTTCTCGGAGATTTCTCAAACCGTTCTTACATTTTTGTTAATGTTGGCGAGCTTACAGGAATCTGGTATGAATTTTCTCCTCTGTTTACAGCATGTGAGAAGGATATAATCCACTCCAGACACTCACTCATAACAATCACAGCAATAAAAGCAATACCCTTCCCTCTTACAAGAGGGATGCTCATGTTGGCAGCCAGCTGGGGCTACTGCTTTTCTGTTCTACTTCACCAGGTCATATTCCCTTTCCCTCAACACATGTGAAAAAAGCACATGCTTGGAGAAGCACTGAGGAACTGCTTTGTTCTTCCATCTAGAAGCACATGTGGTTCCTCTCCTTTTGTAGCCAGACCTTGGCTTCCTGAGCAGCTTCCCCTTTGCAAAGGCAGGAAGGATATTGAAAGACCAGTGGGAGGACTACCATGTAAGAAAGTTCCAAGGAGGTATTTGGGGATTGAGTGGTACAATATTACAGAAAGAAAAAGAAAACAAAACCAGGGGATGAGAGGAAGGAGTGCTAATAGTGTGGATGAGTACAAGAAACTACCTACAGAATGAGCCAAGACGCTTTTCCTACAAACTTCTGCCTGGCAGTTGAATTTGTGTGAATCCTGTGACGTGGGATGAAGGCAGGGGATGGGAAATGTACTGTGCAGCCTTTTCCCTGGTGGAAGTGGGAAGAGTGTCTCTTTCCTGAGCTGTGTAACGTAATTCCTCAGACTATAAGTAGCGAGATGTCTGTCTCACTTGATAATTAGGAAAAACGAACCCTTTAGAAAACTACCAAAAAGCACAAAGGAAGTGGAGATTGAAAGCAAACCAAGATCTGAGATAAGGGACTGAAGAGAAGTGAAACAGAATATAGCACCGAGTGCTGTGCTATCTGAACAACAGGATTATAATTGCTTTGTTTTCCCCTGCAGTTCTTGACTGAGTGGATCAACAGAACTCTGAAAGAGGAACACATAGTAGTTAAAAGTCTGGAGGAAGACCTGTATGATGGGTTGGTACTTCATCATCTCCTGGGTGAGCTGGTCTTTTGAGTTTAGCTCTTGCAGACATCTTATGGAGGAGCTTTCCAATCAGAGAATAAACCTCAGGAATCACAGTAGCAGGGACCTGTCATCACTTCTCACTGCACTGAGGGCCAGCTGTGATAATCACAATTCTGAACAAATTCCCACTATTGTTTCACATGGTTATTTTACTTCTAAGACATTATTAATACCTGCTAGTTGACATAATGAAAAGGTTAACTATGAAGTGTGAAATTCAGCCCTTCTGAAATGAAGGAGGAACACAAACCAGGAACATAAACCAGGGACACAAAGGTGGCTTGTGGTGCTACCAGAAACATTGGATGGAATCAGCATGGCAATATATGTTTTCCTGCATTTAAAAAAAAATAAAATTAAAGGCTGGGTCCAAAGAGCTGTTCTGGTTCTGGAACTGGTAAAATCTAAGAGGCTTTTGGCACTATGTGGTGCTTGTATAAAGATGTGGCCTCCTAGAGCAGCCTGTTACCTATTTCTCCATCTCTCCTGTCCCTACTATATTTTTGTTTCCCTTTTACTCTCCTTGGGGTTGTCTTTTAAATCTCCTTTCCACCAGGGCTGAGAGCAGCAGCATGAGCAGGACTGGCTGATTTTTCATAGTTTACTTGCCTGAGCAATGAACTTCTATATATGAATTGATGTTGACTTTGTACATTATCAACAGAAAAGATTCACTCCTTGGATTTCTGTAGAAGAAAGGGAAAGAGTTAGGGCTGGGGGATGATGCTACAAGGAGTGACTTGAGTCCTCTCCCTTTTGCAGAGCTCTTAAATGATACTGAACATTAAAAACAAGAGTTTGTGTTCTCTGATGTCATTTTATGTTTCTAATTATTTTCTTTTTCCCTACAATGATGTTAAAATACTTCCTTCTTCTTCCTATGGATCATCTTTAAAAGAAAACTTAGGATCTCTCCAGCTGGATGTTGAGAAGATTGCATTAACAGAAAAAAAACAGCGAAAGAAACTCTCAGTGATTCTGGAAGTCGTGGCCAAGTGTTTGCAACTGGAAGAAAGTCAGCTGAAATGGAGTGTGGAATGTAGGTGCAGAAGTGAAATCGAAGAAAAATTATCCATCACAGGCTTCTTGTGCTATAAGGCTGCTGTGAGGCAACGTGCTGCCAGAACAGTAATTAAACAACCTGTTTTCAATTACTAGTTGAATCAAAAGTGAGACAGAAATATCTGACCTGCCTGGGTCTGCCTCCCCTAAGTGTGTGGCTTGTGAATCACTTGAGTCCTCAGCATCCCTGTATATCTCACTTTTAAGCTGTGCTATTGCTAAATTTTGATATTATACAAACTGCAATCTGGTGTTCCACTGGTGTTATGGCCCTCCATGACTTTGGGGTTCTCTGCACAGGGAGAATTCATGATGTTTGAGGGAAGTTCACATGTTTTGCACACTAAGCATTGTTTTTTTCCTTTATAGCTATCTTGGCAAAGGACTTACTGAGCACACTGCATCTTCTTGTTGCAATAGCAAAGCACTTTGAACCCACCCTGGCTCTGCCTCCAAATGTTCAAGTGGAGACAATCACCATCGAGGTATTTGTAGTTTCAGTATTTGTTACAGTAGATCCTAGAGTCCTTTCACAAGGCTAACCTGCTTAGAATTAGAAGAAATGTGTGTGCAGCTGTGAAAGAGATACTTGTGTTTTCTGTGAATTACACCTTTCAATTTCTGAGTTTGTTGGATTAGATTGAGTATTCAGTTTGGATACTCTGTCTTTAAAAGGGGAAAAGCACTATGCTGTTTTTCTTCCTCAGCCAAACAAGGGAATGGTCAAAACTGAAAGCAGATGTTGATCTCTGTAAAGAAGAAAATGAAGAAATTCTGCTGTTACTGTCTCTAAATATTTTAAAATAGAAGATTGTATTCATAAATCATTAAGTATTTTTGATGCTGAATATTTCTTTCTTTATGTGATGGGAGTTTTTACTCCCTTTCTGTTAGGGTAACATTTTGGTATTTTTCTCTACAAGCAGATATCTACATGTCTTCTTCCTCTATTTTGTTTCTTAAAGTCTGTTCTGAGACTATAGGAGAATATTTATTTATTTTATTTATTTTATTATTATATTTTATAATATATATTTATTTTATATTTATTTACAATAAATATATTTAAATATTTATAATTGCAAAAATTACACCACCAGTGTATGTAACCACAATGTTTTTCACTGCTTGAAAGGGAAGAGCAGCAAACACCAAGGACTTCCTCTGATGAGGAAGTACGAGATTTCCTGTTTGAGACTGAAGAGAGCAGAAGGAAGCAGAAATCTCTCAAAGTATCTGTGCTAATCTGTACTGGAGTTATTGACTAAGTGCCCTCTGATAATCATTTAAGGCAGCAAACAGGTCATGAAAGCTTGTTTATGGAATATTTTTGTGTGACAAACCCAACACTGTTTACTGTCCTTTCAACAGTCCATCTCTGGAGGATTAAAGACATCAAATGCGGTGGAATATATCACAGAAAACAAGTAAGAGGGGACATAGCTGTTTTTTACACTGTCAATCAGAAAAGAAACATTGTGGGTATGTTCCCCCTTGCAAAAAGTACCTGGGATCATGATGATGACAAAGGTGTAAGCCCAGGCAGGTAAATGCATGTGAGCAGTTTCTCTGATTTCTTCTCTTTTGTTTTATTCCCCTCTTCCTGTTTGGCATTATGGTGCAATACCTTTATTTATTCTATATATATAAAACAATACGTATGATTATTCCTTAAACTTAGCATTTGTTATTGCCATGAATTTCATAGCAAATATAGTAATAAAATTTCAGTCCTGTAAATTTACCTGTGCCACACTAAACTGGAAATTTTCTAAAGCCACAAAGGTTTAAATCCACTTTAAATTTGCTTTTTTTTTTTTTTTATAAATAAAGAGAAAGGAGGCAATTATTTTCTTATTTTACCGTGAAAGAAAAGTTTTAGCTTGCTGAGTGTGCAAGGTACTGCCATTATTAAAGGAGTTTAGTCGGATACCATTTATACACCAAAAAAAATGCACATCATTCTAAGAACTGTAAACAGATTTTCCTACTGTCGTTTTTTATATGCCAAAACATCTTCAAGCTCTAATATCATGAGCCGCTTTTTGGAAGAGGATATTGAGTATTGTGCTTGTAAAATAAATGTTCATTGGTGTGTGGGCCAGTTAAAATATCATATGTTTCCAACGCTCTACACAGATATACAATCTACTTAAAAATGTCTATTGGAAAGTCACTCTGAAATAAAGTTAATGCCACTTTGAACTCTATCTCCTGCTTTACAGGATAGCAGATAAGCAAAGCTTATGAACAAGATCAGTTCTGCTGAATCATTTTTCTAATTCTTGCTTTTTATTGCACTTCCAGAGAGAATATAGAAGCGCAGTCAAGTAAGTGCTGGCATTGCCAAGTTCAGTGTTTTGTTATGTGCTTTTAGACACCATGTCCTGATCCATTTTTACCCCATGATAAAATCATTATGCTCCCACTAAAGTTAATGGAGATTCATGGATTTTTTTCCTCGTGTTTTTCTCCAAATGTCTCCTGTTACTGCCTGTTCATACCAACAGAATACAGCTTGGAAAATGGGTGGTCACTTTGCCTGTGTGCTACAGGCAACAGATGGGAGGGGAGACAGGGCATGAAAGTGGGTTGATGACCCAAAAAAGAAACCTGGCTGGAGGCAAAATGCCAGCTTGGATTTGTGCATGGACCATGTTCACTGTTGAAACTATTTATAAAGGCTTCAGAACTGTGTTTCTCATTGCCACCGGGTTTTGTACTTTCCTTCCCACAGTTTGCAAATGAGATTTTGAAATCCACTGATACTGGGTCGTGGATGGCAGCTCAGTCAAACATCCCCAGAGATTTTACCCTTAGGGATTTTGAGGGCTGGGAAACACTTGAGGTGAAAAATGTCCCTGTGGGCAAAGCCTGCAGAAGCTCTGGGCACTGCTCCAGGTTCAGTGTGAACTGCTCTTCCCTGATGCAAAGGAGCACACTGCACCCCTAGAGAACCAAGGCAACCGTTTGAATTCTCTTCTGTGTCCTTTATTGTGGCATTTTCATCCTTTGCAGAGGTGCAAACGATATAATTTAATATCTTTTTATCACTTATTCCACTGAGTGTTCTATAGTGTGGGCTGAAATTGTGAAAAAAAATCCAACTCTCACCCCCTGCCCTAAGAAAAAAAAAAAAAAAAAAAAAAAGAAAATAGAAAAAAAAAAAAAAAGGAAGAAAAAACCCCAACCCATAATTAGGTGTTTCTTGTAGTGGGCTGATTCTGCTGGGAAGAGAAATCTGCAATTCACTCTTCAAGATGCTCTCTATTTTTGACACAGCTTTCTTAGCAAAGAGAGAAATCCCAAAGCGTGGCTCCAGAAGAGGGCTCTCTCTGATTTGTTTGATGGATTCACCTATTCCCTGGCATTGCTCCTGCAGCAACCCGCAGAACAGAGAAACCAGAGAAATCCCTTTCACCAAGGAGGCTGCTCTGTCACTATCTTTTGGGAGGAATTTCCCTTAAGCAAAGTTGCCCCTGCTTTCCTGTGCTGGAGAAACTGGTTCTCCATTTAACTGAGCTGCCAGAGCGCCTCTCCTTGCTCGGAGAGTTTCAAATATTTTGCTCATGCTTGAACCAGAGCTAGGTTGTGGCTGGGTGAGGAGATGTATCCTGCTTTTGCTGCACCTGGGCAGAAAGGGGAGGTGAGGGTGGGACTTGGATGGATCTCATTTCCTTGGAAGTTTTAGACTACTTCTAGTTCTCTGGCACAGCTCTGCTGGCACCAGCTCCTCACCCACTTTAAACTGGGTGGCAGAACTGGCCATTTTTGAGGTCTCTTGTCAGAGGAAGGGTAGAGTCTCCATATCTTGCTTGTGGTTTTTTGAAGGAAGGAGGATTGGTATTTTTCTGCAAATTTGGTGTAACTGACATTTCTGTTTGAGGAGAGCAGTAAAACACACAGCTCTTCTGCTCCCTGCATTTTATCCCAGAAGTTCAGGGTAAAAAACCACCCAAGTGAAAAGAAATAAATCACAGTATTGTGAAACTTAGCCAGTGTTCAGACTGGTGGCAGCACAAACTGAGAACCTCTGCAGGTGAAAATTACAGAGCTGAATGAAGTAAATTGTTTTCTCTGATGTGGTCAGGCTGAAGGGAAGCCTGTCATCCTGTCCTCTGATAAATATAAAAGCAGCATCTTTCTCTGCCTCCCTGCTACTCTTTTCCTCCTTGGATTGTAAATTGCAAATACCTTTCTCCTTCTGTAGCCACATTAAAGCTCTGATCTCTCAGTTATTAAAATTGCAACCAATTAATGTTGTTTTGATACAGAAGATGATGCCTTTGATGAATTATTTAGCTGTGATCCAGATAAACTGGATGCTGTAAAAAAGGTAATTTACTTTTTTAGTAGACATCAAAATCTGTTAAGCTGAGCTTAAATACTAGAAAAGTCTAGAAAAGTTATTTTTTCCTTTCCCCCTTTCTTCCCTTTATTTCTTTAGGCACTTCTGGAATTTGTTGACCAGCATGTTGGAAAATTAGGATTAAATGTGAAAGACATTGAATCTCAGGTAGGGTGCTCCAAGCTGCATGGTACCCATGTTTAGTCAGCTGTCTGGGTGTTTCCTCTCACCATTAGGAATTCTCCTTTTTATTACAGTAAATTTGAAATTTGGCAACATAATGATTTCCAGGTATAGGTTAAGATATCAAGCTTTGGCCTCAAGTTTCTGAAGCTAATAATTAATGCAAAAATACAGCCTTTGTATTGAATGCTGCCCTTTGTAATGCTACAAGGAGTAATTTTCAGAGTCTGCCCGGCTCCTAAGGGTGCTCTCTTTGTCAGGATGGAAATAAATGTCTCCAGAACATTAAAATGGAAATCAAGTTGATTGTTGTATTTAGTGATTGTTGATGTTGCATTTGCTTCATGGTATGAAGGCCTTATTTTCATCACATTTCAAAGTCTCATGCTTGACTGTAGAGCTTCTTTGGAGTATGAAATTGCAAGAGAATTTGGGCTGAGCACCCTGGTCTCTGGTGAACAGGTGCTTTTCTGAATTTTGAACAGGTGCTTTTCTGAATTTTTCCAGTGGGCAACTGTAAGAAAAGAAGGTTTTCAAGTGTTTTGTCATACCTAACTAGGCACAATTTTCTATTATTTATAGTTATGCATTTGTGCTCATCTGAAGTGTTTTCCTATTTGGAATTGTTTGTTTTAATAGCTGTACTTTTACAAGGTTGCATTTTCACAAATGTGAATTTGGGAGCCTTACCTAACTAAATATGAAGTTCACTGTGGAAGAGGTTGAGGGAGCTGGGTCATTAGACTGTCTTTTTGCCTGAGTAACATTTAAATTCCTTTGTTGCTAGAATGGCATTTACTGGAATAGCTTACTAAAGGCAATAATTTTCAGGCAATTCTTATCTAGTTTTCAGATGGGGTTGTCTTACTTCTCCTAATTGGACAACTAGAGGGCTACTTTCTGAATTTAAGGAATTTCTTCCTGACTCCGGCCAGCACCATGGAAACGGTAGGTTGTTCTGTAATTATGTAGAGCTTGATCCATAAAACTGTGTGTTCTGCCTCTTGCTTGCACTGCTGCTGCTGTGTGTGAAGTCCCATGCTCACAGTGTTTGCAGGAGGGGGGTTTGGGGCAGTGCCAACACTGCCTCAGTTTTGACTCAGTGCTGTCAAAACATCTCAGAACAGGTCAGTGTCCTCCTCAAAATTAGCTTCTCATGGGAGGCAAACACCTGTTACTTGCACTTGTTTGGCATTGGCCACGCTTCTGCAGCCTTCTGGTGAAATCCAGGGCTCTGTGTGCTGGAAAATGGGTGCGTTGTCTTCTACCAGTCTGTGCTGCAAACAGGATTTGAAGAGGATGACACGTCTTGCATAGCAGAAATGGCTCTCTGTGACTTCCTTTAGGCTGCCCTAAAAATATGCCTCAATCAAGACATGGCCAGAACATTTTGAAGGTCCCTTCTGTGTTTGGGTAACTCTTGAGAGTTTACATCCTTTCCTCCCCCAAGGCTGGGGGCTGTAACATACTCAGCCAGACCTGCTTGGCACCTTTTTCCACCTCTACCAGGCAGATTTCATCTGTGCTTTAAAAGTAAAAGCTGTCACCAGCCAGAAAAAAGTGTGTGCTGGGCTGCCTCCTCCACAGGTCTGGAATGTTGATATATTTTAAGATATTTGAGGTATTTTCAGATTGTCTCTGGTGTGGGTAGGCTTTTATTCACTTGGGTCTCTAAGTAGCTCTGAAAATCTTGAAACTGTAGCTGTTTTTCCTGGTTTGTGCTCAAATCTCTGGAAGTGAAATGTGTCAGATCTTTTTTGCTTGAGAGCTGCCAGAGAAGAAAATCTCTCCTCTGGCATGGTTTGCATTATGGCTTCCCCGCACAGATGAAGCTTTCATCTTTTCCTCAACTTTGGCACAGTTAATGCCCCTGGGCAATATTTATTTGTAACAAAAATTCTCAGAGGTCCTATATTAACAAATAAATATTCCCATGGAGCTTTTCATCAGAAAGTTTAAAAGCACAATTGTTTGACACCTAGGTTCAAATGTTGTCAAAATTTTATTGCTGTCAGTTGGTAACTGTTCAAAGTATTAGGAAAAAATTTTTTTTTGTTTTTTGTTTTATGTTTTTTTAAATCCAAGAACAGGGAAAATATATTTTGAAGCGTCTAATTAGAAATAATCAAAGCATTTCCTTAGAGTTGTTTTTCTTCCCTTTCTCTTCTACTCAGTTTTCAAAATTGTTTCGTCTGTTCCCATTGAGTTGGACAGAAATTTTTAACATTTCCATTAGCTTTATTCAGAAGAAGTCACTGAATATTTTCTTATTTAATAATTCATAAATAACTATTTTCCTTTTGGTTCAGCCCTATTCTAGACTCACAGATGTCTTTCTGGAAATGAGATAGCCCTGGTACAATTCTGGTACAAATCAAAGCTCAGACTTCCTAGTTCCTACCCTGCCCAGCACTGGCATCAGAGAAGAATAGAATGGGGTTGGGTACTGCTTCAGTACAATAATTTCATTTTAGCAAAGTTACTCCTAAGGACTGGACTTGCTGTCAAACAGTTTGCCAAAGTGGTATTTCCAATTTGTTTCTCCTCTGATTGCTCATTACAAAATGAAAAGCGGGATGACAGCTGTCATTTGCACACAAAACATGCCTTTCAATTCCCCTGTGCTTTCTAACTCCCTGTTATTTTAGACATTAATTGGTGCAGTAAAGTATAAAGACATAGCCTCTGCTGGGATTCAAAAGATCTCATTTGTTGTTGGAATGGTGACAACCACATGCACTGTTGGCATCAGTGTGGTGCATCCACCTTACAGTTCCTTCTAACCAAAACAATTTCATGACAGAAATTTAGGAGGTGATCAATTTTGAGGTGCAAGAAACTAACACTGCACGTGGGTAGGTTTGCAGCAGGTTTTTTTGGGTCTTTATTGCTAAAAAAGGCATTTACAAGGAACTGTACAAAAATGCAGCTCTGGGTGCTTGTGAGTGTAGAAAGGTGTGTGTTTTCTGAGACAAAGAATACTATCACAAAATAGTTCAGGCTGAAACTAGGGGTGATATCTGTACAGTCATGAGATGAAGACTATGATGATGATGGAGGGCTCGTGTGCTTGTCAAAACTGTGTGAATTTGGTTCTTTTGCCAAAACAAGCCCAGAGCTGAAACACCCCAGATGTCCTGGCTGCTGTCCAGTTGTAAATTCTAGAAAACTGTCCAGCTCTTTTGAGTCAGAAAGCACAGCTGGAAAAAGCACCTTATTTTCAAAGCTTCCCTTTCTTAGGGAATTACTGTTATTTCTGTCTAAAGATGCTTTTTGAAATGCACATGTTGCCATTCCTTGAAAATCCCCCATGTATTACAGAGAGGGAAATGTGCCCTTTTTGCCTGTGCTGGTTCACTAAGGAAACGTTTGATTTATTCATTCCAATCAGCAAATTGTGTAGAACTGCATGGTCTTAAGCTCTCCTGTCTGCTGACTATCAGAGGAAGGAAACAAACCTGAATCCAAACAGGCAGCCTCAGTTACTTGTAAACCAGAGAACCAGGTGAAACATAAAACTGTTGCTTCACTTCAGAGCACAGGGGTTTTGCCTGGCTTATGCAAGGGGGACTCCTGTGCTTATTGTCACAACATAACAAGGAACAGCAGCTTCCCAAAGGATAAATTGCCCAGATTGCCCAGTAGCTCAGGGAAGGCAGGAAGAGACAATCTGAAGTTCATTCAGGTCTTGTTACTTTAGAGGAAGGGAATTTGGTAATTGCCAGCCAAGTACACAACCACCCTTAAGCTGTTAGAAGGCGATATTACTTCAAAAAAATCAATTACAACTACTGCTTATGTGTGTGATGCTGATTTTATGTGGGGAAGGGAGAGAAAAAAGCAGCGAGGAAAAATGAGAAAAAGCCCCTCAGCCTTCATTCATAGATGTGGGCTTAATTTCTGATGAGTGTTATTAAGGATATCATCACTACTATTACTGTGAATAGAAATTTTAGAAGTACAGCAGAAACTTGTAGCTAACAATCATACCTGATCTTTGCAATTCTGAAGGAAATATAGAGAACTTTTCCCATTTCATTTGTTCCAAATGTGGTAAGCATATGAGCATTGCTTAAAAATACCCAGAAATATACTCCATGCATCCATTAGATCCAGTTAGGGATCTAGCCTGTTTTCCCCACTAACACAAGTCTTTTACATGTAAGGTCTATTTTTAAATAAATGGATTCTTCTGCCCACCTCATGGGATATGTTTTGCTGGAGATGGATTTTACATATAATTTTATATGATAATTGGTAAAAATTCTGAAGAGCACTTCATCAAAACTAAGGAGAGGAATACGAATACATATTTATGAATCAGTTCTTCAGCTACTAGAGAAATACTTTTAAAACCTTTTGTTGGTTAGAAAATATTGTCAGCTATATTAATATCTCTCTCTCCAACAGCTCCACAATGTTAACCTGGCACTGGAGTTGCTAGCAGAGGGAGGCCTTCTGAATTTTCCTGTGAACTCTGAAGGTGAGTCATGACATGCAAACTTACCTGGAATAGAACTGCTAACATCCCAGCTTAACAAAAGTTCAGGTAATTGCAGGAAGCAGGTTCTGGAAATGACACTGGCACATTTCCTTATATGGCTGCCCTACAGCTCTGAAAGACCTTTTTTTTAAAAAAAATCATTATTTTTATACTAAAAAAGTTGAGTTGTTATAAGTTTAGTAACTTTACACTAAACTTAAACTGTTTAGTAATTCAGTATTTGTCAAAATTTAAACCAGTAACAGCTCCTAGAGAAATTACAGCAGCTGAGCTGGAGGCAAAGCTATTTTCCTGTCTTATAAAAGCTTTCAGTGCATTAAAAGCAAGCTTGTTTCTGTGGGAAGATACCTTGAAGAATTTCTCTGGAAAATCAGAAACACTGATCACTCTATTCAAACTCAGAAGAGTGGTGGGTCAGTCTCCTGAATATGAAAGTCACAGTTTTTTTAGTGGCTTTTATGCTTGGTTAAGACTTGGGAGCTGAATCTCGATCTCCTTCATTCAAGTGAATGCTTCCATCCCTGAATCAATGTACATGCATGCTCCTCTTTCTTTCTCCATCACAAAAACAAGCAAACAAACTACATTTGGATGAGTCCAGTTTTCCAATTAAAATACTCCACAGAAAAATTTGGTGACAGCTCTTGAGGGGAGGAGGGATGTGGTTAATTAATGGGTAGTGCTGTGGTTGCGAAGTCTGATTTCTTGCAGGGCACATAATCCCTGCATTCCTCTACAAGCTTGTTGCTGAAAAAGGAAGTCAAATCTTTATTAAAAGTAACAAGTAGTATTCCAGTTCTAGCTCCCTGTTAGTTATTTGTGAGTGGGTGCATGTGTTGGGTACATAACACATGGTATCATGGAGAGGGAAAGAGAGGATTTCGGGCTTCCTTTGTTTTTCCTTTTGTTCTCTCTTCCCACTACTGCTTTGGTGATGTCAGCAGTTTGCATGCTGGGCATCCACAAACTGTGGGCTTTTTGCAGTGCTGCACAGAGCAAGGAGCCTGGAAAGCTAAAGAGCTTTTATTTATATTAATATTAATAGAGTAATGGGTGTGGGCTCAGGTCTCCATGCTGAGATCCACCTTTAGTGTGAAAAGAAATAGATCTTTTTCTTCCTCCCCTTTGGCTTTCCTTTCTCCCCTATGGCTTTTCTGCACTGCCTCAAACACAGAGCTGATCAGTATAAGACATACTAGTGCCAGCATCCTCAAGTCCTTTACCTTCACTGTGGAAATCCTCAGCTAGTGAGTGAATTTAATACTATTTAGGAGACATTGCTAGAGCTACACTATTTAGTTTCTAAAAGGATCTAATTTTACTAGTATTTCTTTGTTGGTCTTTCTCCCAGTGATTTACAATACCATAAGAAGAACAGAAACCCCTCTGAATCCATTACCCTCTTCCACTGAGCTTTTTAAATAAAAGAGTAGTTTATATAGCCAAGAAGAAAGAAGCTGAAAACTAAATGAAAAAAAAAACTCCATACAACAGAAACAAAACAAAACCAATAAAAAAACAATGCATCAAATGGCAGCAAAACATGATGGAAACACTACAACAAAAATAAAGTGTCAACAAAAAAAGTGTACAACAAAAAAATAATGATTCCTAACAGAGAATAATCAGCAAACCCTCAAGATATAAAGCCCTATTAAATTATCTACTCTGCTCTTTGCTAATGAATTTCTTGCTCTGCATTATTTGCCCTTATTTGTCTTCCAGCAGCAGAAGTCCCTTTTCTTCATATTAATTTAATAAATTATTGGTTTCTACCTCTGTAGTTCCTATTTTGCTTCCTGTTGCAATTCAATTGTCCAAGTTCACATTATAATTGGGGAAATGTGGGAGACTGTCTTTGGGAGGTGCAGTCTCATCCTGTTCCAGGGATTGCTAATACTTCCCATCTGGTTTTGTTGTCTCTGGTTTGTGTATCCACAGATATTGTGAACGGAGATACGAAGGCTATAATGAGAGTTCTGTATTGCTTGTATTCCAAATACAGAACCAAAGAAGCATGAAGAACAAGGCCAAGAGCTTGAGCTGCCCTTTTTTTTGTGTTTTTTTTTTTTGTTTTGTTTTGTTTTCTGGTTTGGGGTTTTTTTTTGTTTTGTTTTGGTTTAGTTTTTTTTTTTTTATTTTGTTTTGTTTTGTCCCTTGCAGTCCATGGTATGGTTTTTGGATTCCCAGCTCTGTTTGCCACTGCTTCTGGGCATGTACTGGTGTTTGACACTTGCTGTGTTAACACTGTATAGCAAATATGTTGTTCATGCAAGGTTTCACATACATAGCCTGAGCAACTGTAAATGTGTTTCCACAGCTGGTGTTATTCTAGAGCTGTAGCTCTTCTTCTAGATCCTGCCTTCTGTATTCTCTGAGCCCTCCCAATGCTGCAAAGAAATTAAATGTGTGTTTTTTCTGGGCCCTGTATTCTTTGCTCCTGAAGGTGACTTTGAAAGTTGTTGCATCCCTCCCCATTTTCCTGCTTCAGGAAGTCATTTGGAAAACTAGAGATGAGAAAGACCCACCAGAGAGGGAGGGCTGAGACACACCTCAAGTTCAAAACCTGTTTTAGAGGGGTGGCCAGTGCTGTCAGACAAGAGGATATGGATGGGATGCCAAATGAATAGAGAGCAAAAATGAAATGTGAACTTACCAAGTGTTTTATAAATGTTTCATTGCTCATTTGCTTGAATATGGAAAAGGCACTCAGCACAATATGCTGGTGTGAAACTGCAGGAACAGGGGGTTCTTGTGCACAGCTGTAGAAGGATGCCCTTATTTCCTTGCTAAGCCAGTGCCAAACCACGTTCGGCTGCGATTGCAGCCCTGACACCAACTCTAGCTAGTAGGGATGCCAATCCATGTCTAGCATGCTTTGAGAGGGAGTCACATCTGCACTTTATCTGCAGTAAAAGGTGGGCAGATGCTGGCTGAGCTCTGCAGCTGGTGATGATAGAGACCACTATGGGTGGGAGCAGTGAATTCAGCTTCACAGTGCCTCTGACAGCTGAGTCATCTCAAACTCATCAGGCTCTCCTAGGTGAATTTGTCCAGCAGTTTCCTCTGGGTGCATCAAGGTAGCCACAATTTATTAATCATCACCCTCGGTCTTTCTTGGGGGATTTAAATCAGAACTCCTTTCAAAACCTCCATCTATTCTCTTGACCTTAAATTTATGTCATGTTGTATAAAACTAGAGATAAAATTAGAAAAAAAAAAGTTTCAGTATTTTTTTTCACTTCCATCTAAACTGAATGAATTTCCTGCCATGGGTCACTCTGACATTTGATCTCTGGTTTGATCGTCCCTTTGTGTGTTAATGGGAAACCGAAGCTCACTGGGTGCAAGTGCTGACATTTACAGAGGAGAATTTGTTGTGTCTACCTCTGGACCATGCAGCCCAGGGAAGATCCTTAGATAGCAATACTGATAAGTCTTTTGAAAATGGTAACACTGCAAACTGCCCTGAGACCAATCCCTTCTCCACCAAGAATTAGCTTGTGATGTTTTTACAGAGAAAAATACCATCTTTGGTGCCAATGAGCGACCAAGATCACTTGCTTCCCCAGCGAATATTAGTCGTGGTGCTGATCTGGGCAACTTAAGTAAAGAATACTTGGTTCTTTCATTTGCAAGTCCCCATAGGCACCTTGCTTAAATCCTTAATGGGCTTCCAAGAATCAACTGGGAAACCTGAGAAGTTCATTCTTGCTTCACAGAATTTTGTAACACTGCACATAGAACATGCATTCATTGTAGAATGAAATGCTATTAAGCAGATAAACCCAGGATGTGGCTTGTGGAGAGCAGGGGTGAGGGGGCAGGAGGGCCTGGGCAGTGATTTGGTAGCAGTCTGGCCTTTTCCTCCTGGGAAGCTGTCCTAAACCTCTTGCCCTGTGCTGGTGATCAGAATTCAGTTCCAGGGTGTGACTCCAGGCATATGACCTGGGGTAGGAAAAAGCCACCAGTGCTAGGAGGATTAGCTAGTGCTGCCCTGGTTAGATGGTTCTGCTCAAGGAAACTGCTGGATTTAAATCTGTGTGCTCTGAGTTTTGTGTTCCATACCTCTGACATAAATAAATTGAGTGCTTGTACTTCCAACAGGGGAAGTCTAGATCTTGATATTTAATGAAAGAAAGGGTCATATTCCTTTTCCAACACCAGCTTGCCTAAACCTGTTATAGACAAGTCATTCTTTTGAAAACACACAGGGTAGAAAAGACAGTTAATGTGCTTGAATCAAAAACATGCTGAGAAATAAAAATTAATGTTTTAATCTGCTTTTTATGCTGAGAGCAAATTTCTAATACACTTGATGTGTATGACCTCGTTGATAAAGGATCTGTCTTTGATTCCTAAAACATGCTGTGGAATTTTACTAATCCATCATACAGACACCTACTCCATAAATTGATGTAGTATACAAATGCACTATTTACACTTGAGATGTAGCCACAGCCTTGGCACCATTTTAATAATAAAGTGACAGAGCCAAAAAGAATATGCCAACACCTGGTTTAGTGGAAGGTGTCCCTGCCCACAGAAGGGGTGTGGGAACTGGACAATCTTTAAGGTCCCTTCCAAAGCCCTACAGGAGCTTCTGTTGCTTTTCCTGTCCCACAGGCCAGTGGTGCTGTGGCTTTGGGTTGCAGCAGTAGCTGGGAAGTGGGACAGATCTGAAGGGTTCCCAACTCCTGCTTGCTGTCATCTTTCCATCTACCCATCCAAAATACCCAGACTCATCCATAAAAATACATATTTCTGGAGGTGGAGTGGCAGGGCTGTGAGGAGAGAATTGCAAGTGGAAGGGGCAGAGTTACCAGGGTGACTTTAAGCAAATGTGGATGCACAGAAGTTTTCATTAACAGGATCAAGCCACTGACTGAGATTGGTATTACCTGTAAAGCCTGAGACAGGGAATTGGAGAGCTGTTCCTGCTGTTTCCTCCTTCTTCTCCTTGGGAACTGGTCCTGTCAGGATCACACTGACATTTTTGTCACTCCCATCATGTGGCTGCACCCTGGAGCGAGGCCCTTGCTGTCTTGCAATGGGGCAGGGGAACTTCAGATAGAAAATTCTGGCAGCCTTCACCTGCTTGATGGGTGGGAATGCCAATAATAGTGTTTGTCCTTTCCCCTTTCCTTCCTTTCTATTTTTCCCCTTCCTTTATTCTTTCCAAATGGTTTCTATTATGTTGTTTCTTGCAGGGAGCCATGCTCACAGTGGCTGCTGTAAGTCTCTTTGGCAATTAGGTTTTCAAACCATGAAAGTAGCACATTCAAATTCTTCTTCTCCAGGAGCTATGTTTTTGTCTGTATGAAGGGACCTTGTTCTTTCTCTTACAGGCTGCTAAAATTTCCCCAAAGAGTAAAAGCCATCGTTAGCTTTTCACAAGTGATTTTTTTCTAGTCAATTAATATTTTAATAATGACTTGATGAAAGTGTTACTTTGAAGGAAACAAATGAGTGTATATGAGCCTTTCTGCTCACTGTGGAGATGGATGGATTTCCTCTGCCATTCACAATTTTCTAGGATGGTGAGACTGTGAACAGGATGTAAAGACTGAGGTATGGAGAGATGAGTTTTGAGACAAGTGAAAATGAAATCAGGACAGCAGTACTGCAGACTGGCACATCTGTGCTGTCCCGTCTTCTCCATTAACCAACTCTACTTTCTAGAACTTAAAAATGAGGAGGAAAAAACCCCCAAACACAATGAACCACTTCTGGGTTTTTTGCATTTTGTTTTCAACAAAGTGCATCAGGGTTCCTTTGCCATTCACTTCCCCCCTGAGTTTTCTAAGCCTTTTCCTCTATGTCATTCCTTTATAATCAGAGTCCCCCAAATCATTCTGCTCTAGCCACTGGCTAAAATTAAAGTTACTAAGGATTTTTTCCATTGGTGCCTTCTCTCAGCCTGCACATAACTCATTTCACACCTCTCACCAAGGAGCCAATAAAATAATACAGAATAGCAGCTAAATATTAGAGGAGAATGGAGTAGCTTAGTCATAAACTGATAAGTTTTATCTGTAGAACTGTAACTGATTGCTTAGATGGGAGTTCCCCAAATCTGCTTTCATGAAATGCTGGGGAATTGCAGTTGGGGTGCTTCATGCTGTTCCCTGCACTCTGTTGCAGGTGCCTTTGGGATTTACCTGCTCCAGAGAGCTGCAGCCTGCACTGAACTTATCCTAGGGCTGCAGGGAGCACACACCCCATGACAGTAGGGTGCTTCAGCTTCCTTTGGGGAATAGAGCCCAGCTACAGGGTTGTGCCCATGCTGGTAAATGGAAAGTTGAAATATATGATCTGAAATGGCAGTGGTGTAATGAAAATGTGATCTGACCCTAAACATAGCTGAAGAACACAATTCTGTTATAAAATAGGAAAAAGTCTGGATAATTTGGGCCACATTAAGTTATACCAGTGTCTTAGTAAGATAAAGGCTCCTAGTGGAGTCAGATATTTGTATTTTGTCAGCTATTCTGCAGATACACTGACTAAAATTATAGAAAAAATGAATAAACCTAAATTTACAGCCTCATTCTAGCATCCAATTTTTCTATGTGTGCTTCCCCCTGCATATTTCAGTATTTTGGCATTCTGACTCCTTGTCCACCCCAATTTTCCTCCCTTTTGTGTCCCCCTTGTGGTGCTGACATTGGTGGTCCAACAACTCCTTCCCCTCTTCATACTCTGAGTTGCCAGGATGTCATTGGGAAGGTATCTGGTAGAGAAGCTGTATTTGAAATGCAAAAAAGCTGTGTAAAAACTCTGGAAACACCAGCTGGCTGCTGTACATAAGAACTTAAAATATTTCTCAGTGGTGCAAGAAGAATTTCTTTATCCTTCCTCCAACATTAAAATAATATCAAAGATAGCAGATAACATTTTGACTGAGCCAGCATCTTAGGGATGTAGAAGTACAGCCAGATCCAGTAATGAGCTAATTTTCCTTCCCCCTTTTACCTTTTGATGCAGAGCAGCTGAGATATGTGTGTCTGTTTGTGCGCAGTTTTCCTGGCTGTATTC